TCTGATGAATAAAGGGACTAAGCCAGGGGTGTCCAAACTCGTCCTGGAGGGCAAGTGTCCTGCGTATTTTAGCTCAAACCTGCTGGAGCTAAACTATCCAGGACCAAGTTTGGACACCCCTAAAGTAAGCGCTTAATGTGTTTTGTAGGAATACACTGTATACTGAATTACATTCTACTAGCATATGTCATCTGTGATTCATTGTAAAAATATAGGATTTGCATAATAGTCCTTAATGTTTATCTAATTATACTGGAACTAGCACAGGGCTTTGATAAAATAAACATTGTGACCCTACCCATGAGTTAGTTACAAAGTCTAATGTTATTTATTTATCCTCAGCCTCAACGGCAATCAATTAATCTGTGTGAATAATAATCAAGTCAACTAATTATCCAGAGGAGAAAGATTAGCCTTCCTCTGACACTCGCGAGTCACGTCCGCTCAAGTCTGCTTCTTCAGACATAATCAATATCTGAAACTTCTTTGATGAATTAGCTACTGGTCATCAAGCAAAGTCTCTCTTTTATTTATCGGTCAGCAGGCTATTTCATTTAATGAGGTAAAAAGAACTGTGGTTTTCAAAACTGTGACTAATCTATCAGGATTTTACCGTCTTTTAAAGGGTGAGTTCACTCAAAAATTAACATTCTGTCATTATTTACTCAGCCTTTACCATTTGTGCAAATGAACACACCCATATCCAGTTGATTTTTAGCAAAGAAATGTCAAATAATAATAATACATAAATAAATAAACAATTAAAATACTGTACAAGTGATTCAGGCGGATGACACAGATAGTTTCTCCCACAAAGCAATTATGTGGATTTATAAGACTTGTAATATGCTGTAGCAGTACACATTTATGTTATTGTTGTTTTTATTAGTCCTTTTTGGACTATGAGAGCCATAGTTAGAATAATCAGTCATTATATGACTAAAATCTTAAAAATATACAGCTGAAGTCAGAATTATTCACCCTCTTTGATTTTTTTTTTTCTTTTTTAAATATTATTTACTGTCATCATGGCAAAGATAAAATAAATCATTTCATAGAAATGAGTTATTAAAACTATTATGTTTAGAAATGTGTTGAAAAAATCTTCACTCCGTTAAACAGAAATTGTGGAAAAAGACTAAACGGGGGGGCTAATAATTCTCACTTCAACTGTACATACATACATATCTATCTATCTATCTATCTATCTATCTATCTATCTATCTATCTATCTATCTATCTATCTATCTATCTATCTATCTATCTATCTATCTATCTATCTATCTATCTATCTATCTATCTATATATATATACAGTAGTGGTAAGTAAGTTGTTAATTACAAATTACATTATAAAAAGTGTAGTACTTGTTTTCGTACAAGACATATTTTTGGACTACTTTTGGATTACTTTAGTCCTAACTTTCTTGCATTTTTATTTATTTGTTTGTTTATTTATCGGTTTGTTTATTTATTATGCCTATACATAATCCTAAAGCATGGATCACACATGAATGAATAGATAAACTGGCTACTGGTTTCTATCTTGTGTTTTTGCAGAAGACTATTTCATTTAATAAGGAAAAAGAAAGAAAAAGAAAAATCTGTAAACCAAAGTCATCTTGATCACAATTCTTTCAGTTCATGGACACAATATGTCTCATTCGGTTTCCTTTTAATTACTGGTAATACTACCAGTTCTGTTTCTGTTGATAAAAATGTACCATTGTAACAACGCGTGATGACCCCACTGCCATTCACATGTTGTTGAGGCTCATTGTGTGTGAGATGTTTTGATGAAGCCAAAAACCCACTGCAGCTTTTCTGAAGAGCTGAGATCACGAAAACAATCTTGAGGTCATTCTAAGGTGATCACCATTCAAAGCCACAGCCATCTTTCTCTGTGTTTTCCACGCGCACGCTTTTTCTTGCTCTATTCATCATATCAGCTTTAAGGAACTGTCACTGTTGCCTTTGTCATTTGACACACAAAGGAGGCTAAAATGTACAATTCTTATATGAGATGCTTCAAGTATGGAAATCATGAGAATCTACCGTTTTCCATCTTTGGGGATAAATTATATAGACACTTTAAGATGGATAAGAGATAGCAATGCTAAGCCTGACAGTCACATTAGCAGCTGACAGTGAAAAATGGTTGATTCTTGATATGTCTCCTGTCAGCGAACAGAGCATTCCTAAGGTAACAATCATATAGATGGATTTGCCTAAACTCATGGCTACTTCTCGCTGATTTAATAGGCTTTGGATCTCTTCTCTGCTTGACTAAAGTATCCGGCTTAGTTTGATGTACTGTAGATGTTTGGCTTGTTTGTGTTTACATTAAGCAGCTCTTAATGCACACATAACATTTGGATTCCTCATCGGCTTAAACATGTACAACATAATCTAAATTCCTCACGGCTGTGGATCTAAATGCAGTCAGCATCTTATTATAAAAGAAAGAAAAAATCCCGGTTGATAACAGCGAGGGTGATGTTATTCTGTAATGCAAATGAGTATGCTTATATACAAATGCACATGACACTTATTGTATTTTCAGAAGAAAAAAGAAAGACAATGTTAGTGTGTGCGCCTCCAAGATGGTTAACGTTTCTTCATGAAACCATTGATGCCAATAAAGGCTCTTTAGTTTCAAAAGTGTTTGCTTCATGAGGAAAATAAACAGTTTAATATTCAATTAAACATTCACAATTATTAAGAAAAAAGTCAATATCTACAATAACAAGCAAGTCACACTAAACAAGTCCTTGTAGCTTAGTAGCGTTGTCTAAAATGTGACTATTAGAGATTTTTTCAGAGTGGGTGTAACAATAAAGGCGCATGTTCATAGGGTGTATTTGGCTGACTTCAGAAAGAAACCCAAAACACATAAATATGTATAATTATCTCAATTATTCTCATGGACCTTTTTTTCATTACAAGGGCTTTTTGAGTGGGGGGAACAGCAAGGCAAAACAACAACATAATTAAACCCCCCACACACCCCCACCCAACCCCATCCCACCAACCCACTGCCCCGTCATATTTAGATCAGATTAGCTGTCCTCTCTGCGGTCTGCTGTCTATCCTGCATATACTGTCCATTGTCTGACACCAGTTTTTTTTTTTTTCTGATGCCAGCTCGATTTATTTGTTTATAGAGTTTTTGCATATATACATACATATATATATATATATATATATATATATATATATATATATATATATATATATATATATATATATATATATATATATATATATATATATATAAACTAGATAACTATTTTAACATTAGTTATAGTTTATTTTAGATCGATTCTGAACTAAGAAAATTGACATATTAGTAGGCTATCGAAATAAATATATAAACAGCTCAAAAACTAAACCATCCGATAAAGCGTTGTTTTTGAAAAGAACGTGCTTTGAAAAGTGACGCTTTACGCATTTTCACGCACAGAAAATGTTTGAGAGGAAATCTAGGCGACAGTCTGGCATTAGTCCATTTAGTGGTTGTGTGGTGAACATCACGCAGAAGGGCATCTTGATCTGTGCCCCTTTTGTTTTATACGCGCCGTGGCCGCCTGGATGCTTTCAAGCAGCCGAGTTTTCGTGATCAGATTATGAATTGTACTTAATCCTCCCCGATCTGCCGACGTCTTTCTTGGTTCAATATTACTAATGTACATTCTATTGGCTGCTTTTGACAGATGTCTAGATCTCTCTCAATCCGATTCCGCATAATACTTTCACTGCCATTAAATCCACACTGGTTGGCCTCTTTGGGACCCGGGCTTGCTGAGGACTGGCGGTGCACTTGTTCAGCCGGGGCAGGGTGTGCAGGGCTGCGGGGGCATTGCTTGATATTTCCGCCGTGAATCATGCGTTTGCACACTCAGCGGCTTGCTTTTAGCAACGCAGTGATTTCCAGCATTTTGCGCAAATCGATAAGAGGGAACCATAAATCTGCCAGCACGTCAAGACTAATCTAAATAATGGCTCAAATGGAACGGAACATTTCTCTTTTCTCTTTTTTGTGCAAACATTTCGTATCCAAAAAATATATATTTGCCAAAGCCGTACAAATAATATCATAATTAGACTATTATTATTATTAATATTATTATTATTATTAGCCTATTATTATTATTATTATTAAATCATTTGGTATTATTAATATTAGTTATTAATAACTATAGACTGGCCTACATTTAAAAACAATAATTGGCCTATTATTATTTGTATAATTTATATAATTAAAATTAGTAATAAAACATTAGCTACTAGTATTATAGTTGAATATTCTTAATTAACTCAAATCCAGAAGAGTACAAAAATATTTAGTGGACAACTCATAATAATTATTCCTTCTTATAATTTTAAGTAGCCTATTCTTCAATTGTTAACTTTGTTACATTCTAAAAATGTATCCTAATTATTATATAGCTGTAACAAGGTAAACCAGGCTAATAGCTTATTTACGCGCACTTGAAAGCCGTGCGTGGTATTTCTGGTTACACACATGCAAACAAAATATGAAGCCTATTTTCTCTTGCTAAACTATAATAAAACTAGAGAATTAAAGAATAAGATAAAAGTATAAAATATTAATATAGACTATGTTATGTTTAAATAATGAGTCGCGTGCACTGTCAAATTATATCAATTTCAGACCACTGTTTTAAAGTGCATGGAAAATAAACAACATCAACCTAGTTGTTTGTTTTTTCCACAAAAACAATAACAAAAAGAATAATAATACGCGCAAAAAAATATTCAAACAAAAACCACCAGGGTACACATGATTGAAATATTGAATAACGTTTTAATCTAAACAGTTTCGTGTAAGAAGACATAAAATAAAATTAACTAAAAGCGCGTCTTAACTGAAATAAAAAATAACAAAAGCGATCAAAATACCAAAAAGATGAAGATACGAATAATGTCCTCAAAGTCAGAAGCAAAAAATCTCTACTCTCTAGAGGCAGGCATACATACTGTGATGAACGGGAGCCGGTTTGGCTGCATTGGTGTCCTCCTGTTTTCACAAATGTCCCGAACAGTCGTTGACAAGTCGTCTTGAACGGCCACATAATTTGTGTCGTGTGCAGGTGGCCGATTGTGTGAATATCCGACAGGAGCATCTCTATGCTGAAGTCTCACTCCAATTAGGGTCCCCTTTAAGAATTTCATGTTGGCCACACTTGCAGTGCCAACAGCCGCCTACATAAAAACAAAAACACCAAGCGCTTGGAAATATACTTTTTTGCAGCTGGCTTTAATGTAAATGAGCGCAAAGAGCAGTGAAAGCAGAAATGTGCTTTTAGGTGACAGTGGTGTGTGTGTGTGTGTGTGTGTGTGTGTGTGTGTGTGTGTGTGTGTCATGAAGGAAGTGCTATATTTCCCCCTGGTCAGAAAGGCAAAACATTAAGAGAAGGTGTTGTAACAATCGATTTTGGCATGAATTTGCTTGATGTGTGTTGTCGAAATGAAAGTCTAACTGCGACCTTAATGCTAAAAAGCAGATTGGGGTTATTAGTTTGTCACTGGAGCGAGCTCTTCTGCCATCTAGCGACTCAGAAGAGAGAAGAGGCGATGTTCAGCTATTACATTTATTCTGAACTACTCTACTGCCATCTAGTGTCATTCAGTAGAACCTAATCTAGAGGATGAAAAGTGTGTCCGTTTTTTTTTTTTTGTTAATATTTATAAAATCTTTGATTTATATTAAGTCATAATAGTTTCTTTTCCAAGCACTTGTGTGCACTTTACAATTTTATTCTCTGGACAGTTGGCTACACTTAAAAAAATAACTCTTTGATAAACTCAATTTAATTGATCCAAAAAATTTGTTCAGCACCAAGTAAAAAACAAACTATTTACACAAATAAATGCAATTGAGATGGTCCAGCATGATTTAATCTAATAAAAGTCTAAATACGTTTGTGTTTTTATTCAACTTTAACTCAAAGGTCAGATAGTAGCCTATCATGTGTGTCAATTAGGTGTTGTACATTACGAAGTCTCTTAGCTGCATGTAAAGTGATCTTAAATTAACTAAAAGAGTATATTCATATATTTAATTTTTCATGAGTAACATGAACAGTGGATTGAGACTAATCTCAGAACTAATTTTAGGACAGTTATTGCTTACTGAGCAAAGCAACAACCTGCATTATTGCTAATTAAGCTGCCAACACCCAAAGCATGGGTGCTTCGGCAAGGTGGAAACCTCAAAACTCAAAGCATTACATGAAAATCTAAATCTTCAAACTAAAGTGAAGATTAAACTCTTACTAGTCTTATTAACTTTAAACACCCAAGATTACTTTTATTGTCAACGTTTCCCTCTCCTAATTCTGTCACATGCAAAGCATGCTAGGAATAACAAATCCCAAGGTAGTTGGACCAACACAATTCCTTCATGCTGTCCCAAGACAAAACGCTTCAGTTAACTTAATGGTTTACAAATTTATGTGGACTGAACAGAAAACAAATAAAATGGCCAAAAAAAATTTACAAGAATTGTGTTGTTTCAGCTCATTCTAAAAAAGTTTGAGTAGCAGTAATGTTTTTGAGTGTACAGACAGTGAAAAGGTTTACATTTTCCAGCTGATTTGGAAAAGAGATGAAGAAACCACCATGGTCAAAGCTGGAGCTCTGCATAGCATTCTTGGAAACATTGCTGTGTACATGTGACAGGAGTTTTTTATTTTATTTTATATAAACTATATGCTTAATTGACTGATTCTGTTATATACTGTATGTGTGTTGATCTTGATGCTTATGTTGTTTTACTACACAAAACTCTAATGATATTTCAGAGGGAAAAGGATTTCTGGCAGTGCACTGGTGGGATTGCAGTGGGTTTGTGCTGCTGCTGTCATTAGTTGAAGGATTTAGATCTTCTGCTTAATAGTCTCTAGTAGTCTTGAACACCTTGATTAGTTGGATCAGCTGTGCTTGATTAGAGTTGGAGCTAAACTGTGCAGAGCTGCGACCCTTAAGGAGTTTGTGACCAATGTTTAGATTAGTTTTTTTGTATAATGTCTGTTAAACAATGCATTGTTTTTACAATGGCACAAATTGTTTTGCTTCTGGTTGGTGATTGTTTTTTCTGGGGTCCGTTCTTCGTACGTGGATTACTCAGTTAGCTGGATTTGGATATTGACGATTTGACACGATCCAGGATCGTTTCGTTCTTCAAAGCTGATCCGAGAGTTGTTGTCATGGCAACAGTTCTGCTAGGTCAAACCTGATCGGGAGCAGGTTTAATTCATATAAACAGGATTAGATCGGCTTAGTTCAAGCAAAGATAATACAGAAAGTATTTACCGAATTCTGATATTTTCTTACAGTAGTAGTTATATACACTTGGGAAAATAATACATAATTTTTAAATATATATATAAAGTTATAGTCATTAATAAAATAAATAAAGTTATACATATTAATAAAACGTATGCAATCTGCACCCTCGAAATGAAAGTACAAAGACTGCCATCTGGTGCAAAGAGAAAACTTATTGAAATGAACTTTTTAGATCGCTTTAGAACAAATTGTGTATAATAGAAATGCACAATATGTGATTTTTTTTAAGCAATAATACATTTATGCAGTCATAAACATGTTTTGATAGTTAATATGCCAGTGATTTGATGCTTCACAAAAGTTGCAGACACCTTTACCAATATCAAAATGCTTTTGTAAACAACCAGTTATTCTTTATACACCGATTAAAAAACGGCTACATTAATAAAGAAAATCTTTTCTAAATGTAGAACTAAATGCATTGATTTGCATTGAAATACATGATGAATACTCTTGTCTTGACAAATGAAAGTGTAAAGCCTGCAGCTCACAACAAATGTGGAAAGTTCTTGCGTGTCATATTTAACAAACCATTTACTGCTAATTTGATGTAATTTTGCTCACATGGATAATTGAATATTAATCAGATGATGTCATTACGCTGCTATGCCGTCAGCCAATCGTTGCATTGCTGATCATGATTTCGAGGATCGATAGATCTGTCCTTCATAACACACGCAGCGATCTCAGATCAGTTTATCCAGACATTCTAATCTGATTCGTAAACTTGTTTGAAGAACCAAATTAGCGAGAGATCAGTTATCAAGATTAAAAGATCCAGGATCTGCCAAATCATCTTAGATCATTTAAGCGAGGTACGAAGAACGGACCCCTGGTTTGCATCTAATGGGATATGATAAAGAAAAAGTTTTGAGGGAAAAGGGAATATGGACATTTAGTTCATGTTACAGAACCAATCATCTACGTCAGGAGTTTTTCATCTTTTACATGTTTTGAGCTTCTAACTATAAAAACTTGTTTTATATATATATATATATATATATATATATATATATATATATATATATATATATATATATATATATATATATATATATATATATATATTATTGTTTTATTCAAATATGAAAAATACATTTATTTGAATCCCAATAAACCACATTTTTGTTTTATTTATTTGGGTTCATTTTATTTATAAGATTATTTTAATAATGTTTCTTATGAGTTAGTTTTCTGGGTTGAGTGTTATTTTAAATCTTTAGAACTATATCTAATTAATCAAATGAACTTTATGATGAAATGTAGATCAGCAGGAGGTTTCAAACTGGGCTGATATGGTGTTTTTTCTTATACTTCAACTGGAGTCACAAACATTACACAACAATATATCTAAATTTAAGCTGACATGTAAAGAGAAATAACATGACTTAAATATGCCTACCTTTACTATTGCAATTAAATTGGATGTTAGAACCTATTGCAAACCTATTGTGTAGTGTAAATGACTTGTATGTTTTACAGATAATGTACTGGACGGATAACCGGTCCATAACAAATGTGCTGATGAGGAAAATGATCCTCAGGTCAGTGATCAGGTCAGGTCAGATTCAGTGATCCCTCTTGTCAGTTGAAGATTTATTTTACTCAGGAAAAACCAAGCAATGTTTATGAGGGTTAGTACGAGTACGAGAGTACGAGAACAGAACTTAAATTATTTGTGTTGTAAATAAGACACAGTAACACTTTATTTTAAGGTGTCAGTTGTAACTGTTCAGCTACTGCACAATATTAATTCATTACACATACTTTACGTTAAGTATACTGTAGGTTTAGTTGCATGAAGTAATATATAATCATTTGTAATTACTACAGTGAACAAGAGTAACAAGAACACATTAAAATAAAGTGTTACCAAGATACACTTACCAGCCACTTTATTAGGTACACCTTACTAGTACCAGGTTGGACCCCTTTTGCCTTCAGAACTGCCTTAATTCTTCATGGCATAGATTCAACAAGGTACTTCTAATATTCCTCAGAGGTTTCGTTCCACATTGACATGGAAGCATTTCACAGTTGCTGCAGATTTGTCGGCTGCACATCCATGATGCAAATCTAATATTCCACCACATCCCAAAGCTGCTCTATTGGATTGAGATCTGGTGACTATGGAGGCCATTTGAGTACAGTGAACTCATTGTCATGTTCAAGAAACCAGTCTGAGGTGATTTGCGCTTTATGAGATGGTGCATTATCCTGCTGGAAGTAGCCATCAGAAGATGGGTACACTGAGGTCATAAAGGGATGGACATGGTCAGCAACAATACTCAGGTAGGCTGTGGCATTGACACAATGCTCAATTGGTACTAATGGGCCCAATGTGTGCCAAGTAAATATCATTCACTCCATTACACCACCACCACCACCAGCCTGAACTGTTGATGCAAAGCAGGATGAGTCCATGTTGTCATGTTGTTGATGCCAAATTCTGGCTTTAACATTTGAGTCACTTAAATCACCTTTCTTCCCCACCCGATACTCGGTTTAAACTGCAGCAGATCGTCTTTACCATGTATACATGCCTAAATATGTAAAGCTGCTGCCATGTGATTGGCTGATTAGAAATTTGCGTTAATAAGCATTTGGACAGGTGTACCTAATAAAGTGGCCGGAGAGTGTATGTTGTCTTCATATCTGAATCTGATCTGAATGAACCTCTATCCCCCTCTTGTGGTGAAAATGTGTGTTTATTTTATTTATGTATTTATTTTGCTTTATTGTTAAAAAGGTTTCACAAATGCTTAGTTGGACATTTATGCTATTTTGGTAAGTCCAGACAAAATGAACCATAGAAGTTTTCTACAGCATGTGCATTAAAGTGTATTCAAGAAAATAAGACATTTCAGAATGTAGATAGACTGAGCACTTTTTAATTTGTTTATTGATTGACTTATTAAATTGATTGAATAGATTTTTTTAGATCATTATTGCAATAATGTATTGTGTGTGTGTGTGTGTGTGTGTGTGTGTGTGTGTGTGTGTGTGTGTGTGTGTGTGTGTGTGTGTGTGTGCTGACTGAAGAAAGTTTCAAGTGAACTAAAATTACGACAAAAGAAAAAATTACAAACAAAATTAAAATAAAACAGAAAATATGAAAATAAGTTAACATAATAATAAATAGTCTTGCAAACGATTCTAAAATGAGACTGGTCTGTAATTGCTGCAAATAAATCAGATGGACACCACTAAATAAAAGCAGAGGGGACTTTGATAGGCTATCAGCTCATATTATTGAGGGTTTTATTCCAAACTATAAACATTGTTTTGTTTTGTTTTTTAATCAGCTAGGCGAGGTTAAGGTCCACTTCTTTTGAAATGTCTGCCCTTGATGTGTTTGAAGATTTTCCTCAAATGTCTTATCTTCAGATCTAAACTTTAAATAGATCACATTTGTTTACACTTTTTAAAAAAACTGTGTAGTTTTATGTAGTTTATTATCACCAGTGGCTGCAATGTAAAGTGTAGCAAACATGCACTTTTGGCAGTTTTATGTTTATTTGTAGTATTTTGAATACTGTATTAGCCTATGGTCAAAATAGGGATATGGTTAGTTTGGGGGAACTATTTATAGCTCACATTTTAAACAATTTATCATGCAAAGAGCTAACAATTTACATTTACAAATAAAATGACACCAAATAAAACAGAACAGAAGTATTAAAAGTAGCAAAACTGCAAAATAATTGAAAAAAGATACAGCTCTGAACAAAGTAAACATGAAAATGTTTTAAAAGACTTTTGGTGTGCAAAATGTTGTGGGATCTGGCAACACAAAGAACACACTGCGCATGACTTCCTGGTTTCAAAAGTGAAACCGACGCACAGCACAGTCTTTTTAATCAAACAGTGATATTAGAGTTTTAAGTTTACGCTGAACCATTGGACCAGACAAACTAGCTTTTCCTGGGCAGCTTATTTGAAAACAATGCGCGCTTTCTGCCATTTGCTCCTCGACGGCTGTATAATCTGTAGTTGGTGTCTCGTTTTCTTGTTTTAATTTCCCTGACAACTAAATGACGCACAGGCACAGACCGAGATGATGAGCCTGCCAGAGGTAAGATTATCGTTAACCTTCTGCTAAACATGGTAAAACCTATCAACTCTATTTTCTTTTCTCGTCATTTAAGGACTGAACGTCAGGGGCGTTAGATAGGGGATAAACTTACTCTTTCAAATTGTTGATTAATTCAGTATATGACCAAACTACGCAAGAAGTAGAATCTCGTTATTTATTTTTCACTTTTTACACTGCTCTTAACCCGTGATCTTATTACAGTAAAAATATATATTTAGGAGCATTGATTGTCTGTGTAACGACAGTTTTGCTTAAAATACCATGGTCAAATTAGGTTTAGTGTAACAAACAGTGTTCAAATGACTTTAGAAAATGTTGCATCACAATATTGAGTTACTCCCCAAATAAGAAACTAGTTGCGTTACTTTTCATAGAAAGTAATGCGTTACGTTACTTTTGAGTTACTTTTTCTAACCTGGCTGAGGCTTGATCTCTTTCAGAACTTGCATGCTATTCTTCTTGTTTTAAAAAGAGGAGCTCTACATTTAACAACACACTGTATAACCTTCATTTACCAATAATAAAAAAAACATTTAAAAAAAAAAGAATAATGCTACCTTCTGAGAAGGTATACATTGATGCTATACATGCCTTATATACAGATTAATGAAAGTTGAAAGTAATGTGTTTGCTACTTTTGAATTTTTGTTTTATCATATCAGTAAAATCAGTGTCCAATGGGGCAATTCCCTTTTCTTCCTTGTGTTCAAAATAATGAGAATACCTCCATCAAAGAAATGCAATGCTCTGCCATTTTGTTTTTGCCTGTTCTTGCAGGGAGCTCATTTTCTTATTGAGTGTGATTCAATGTGGTTACATTAATTTTAATTCAGCCATTTTTTTTTTGAAAAGCATATTAATTAATCTGAAAAGTAACTTAAATATTATTACTTCATTTTTGAAAGTAACATGTTGTAATGCGTGACCCCCCCAACAATAGTAACAAAACAATTTCAGTACAATAACTGTAGTTTTTAGGTTTTATTTGTAACAAATCCATGGTTAAATGGTCAAATTTAAAGTTTTTTCAAAATCATAAAAGTCTTACAAAAGTGTATTAGTATTATACCATTTATTTATCAAGTAAATTATGAATCATGTTATTTACTAAACTGTGTTAATTTCTCATTCATTTCAGATATTTACTGAAGTTGAGCTTAAGATTCATCCAGCCATCTTTCAGCCACCAAATTCAGTTACCAGCATACTGAATGGAAAGACTATACGAGTTACCCAGAAAGAAGACTATTTAATTGCAACCGGGAAGTTCCAAGATATTAAAGATTTTTATAAGTCGTGTATAAAGATACAAACAACACATAATAGACCAAAGCATCCAAAGCAACAGGAAATGAGTATGAGCAGTCACACCACTGCAAGCCCGGGATCAGCTCAAAACGACCCTTCAGTATTTGATCCAATTAAAGTTGATGACACTGTTATGCAGTACATCAAAGAAAAGAAATCAAAGGAATTTGAAGCGATCCAGAAAAGGCATGGAGTTTCCATAAATACATTCAAAAATTATCTGACCTTTACACCTCAGACTGGTAAGAACATTCATGCTCAATTTGCACGAGAAGAGTTTATAACACTGTATCAAAAGATTGCAATTGGACTGCAAATCAGGAACCACAATTACCGTCGAGATATTTTTGAATTTTGCTCTTCAGAGTTTCCAGAACTCTTAATCAATCTCAGTAGTGATAGAAAACAAATGCAACTAATTGGCGACTTCATTAGCCTTGAAAGATTTGACACATGTCTGAAAGGGAGTGACTGGAGAAGGTATTCACTGCACCAAACCCCAAGTAGAACAATGACACACTACGACACACCTCGCACTCAACCTGCAAAACATGAGAAAACATCAGACCAGGCCAAAGATGAGACATGTCCCATCTGCTTGGAAACCATCAAGATGCCTGAATCCACAGTGTTAACTAAATGCCAGCACAGGTTTTGCAAAGACTGTTTGGACACAGCTTTTCAGTTGAAGCCGGCCTGCCCGATATGTGGAGAAATATACGGCAGCCTCACAGGGACACAACCCAAAGGAGGAACCATGACAGTCTCACGGGACAGATCCTGTTTACCTGGATATAAAGGATACGGGACGATCGTCATCACCTACTATATACCAAGTGGATCGCAGGGGGTGAGCTCACTAATGTGTTCTATACTTGTTCTAAAGTTCGCATTAGGGATAGTTGACCCCAAAATCAGCTCTCCTTTAAGTGGTTTTAACCCTCTATGATTTTTTTTTCTGTTGAACACAAATTAAGATATTTTAAAGAATGTTGGAAAACAAATGTAGGAAAGCAAATACTATAGAGCCTCCTTTCCACTGCACATGACAAGCGACAGACCGGAATTCATTCATTTCCAATGGAGAGTAGTTCAGGAATGTTGTGGAGTTAAGATCATCTCCGTATGCGGAAAATTCGGATCCAAATTGAGCTGCGGATACATTGAAGTGTTTGAACTTGTGTGACTACACCCTTTGCGACAGGTAAACAAGAAGTGATGCATTTCAGAGTTGTTCAAGCTGATCTGTGCGCGCGAGATGAGAAAAAAGTAGTTTTATCGGTTATTGTTTATATGAGAAAAAGTCTATGTTAAAAAAAAACATTTCTATTCATAAATGATTTATAAAAATATTACTTTTTTATGTTATCTCCACATTCCCTTCAATATATTTAGTGGTCTATGAGTTTCTAATATTCATTTATTCATCTTTGGTGAATGCAGAGACTAAAGACTCTTGCTTTTGCACTCCTTTATTTCGGACACTGCGGGAACAGCTTCTCTTCCATGGTGCATGACAGAACTGAAAATTCTGACAGTTGTGTCCAAATGCGGCTTAGATGTCTGACTACTAGTTTCCAACTTTCTTCAAAAAACATCTTTTTGCGTCCAACAGAAGAAAGAAACTCAAACAGGTTGTCTTGTGAGTAAATGACAACATTTTCTTAGGTTTTTCAGCAAAAGAACAGTTACACCTCTTTTTAATGACCCTCCCTATAGGTCGAACACCCAAACCCAGGCATGCCGTACCATGGTGCGTCCCGCATTGCATACCTCCCTGACTCAACAGAAGGGACTCATGTACTCAAGCTTTTGCAGAGGGCGTTCGACCAGCGACTTACTTTCACTATTGGTCGATCATCCACCACTGGCAAGAACAATGTAGTGACCTGGAATGACATTCACCACAAGACGTCCCGTGATGGAGGGCCCACGCAGTAAGTAAACATGTTGGGTGTTGTCAACATTTTGAAGTGTTTACCTAATCTCAGACCGAGCCCTGTTAATTCCAGTCCTGTTTTAACAATAGTTTTAAATTACTGTTATTTGCAGTTATGGTTACCCAGATCCAGACTACCTGAAGCGAGTGCAAGATGAACTGAAAGCAAAAGGAATTTACTGATTTAACTCACTAAACCTTGTATTCCTACCATATGACCAACATTTATTGAAACAGACTATTGTTTAGTTTTTTACAGCCACTATAAAAGGCGTAACATTTTAGGATTCGAATGGGCATATTTTAGTTTGTGTCAATATAATCTCATAAAGCATGGTAAGAGAGATGTCAGTGTATTGCTGTCACCAGTGCTATATATCCTGTGGTTTAAGCGGTTAAACTTCTAGTTACACATCAGTATGATAGAGGCATCACATTTACAGAAATCTTAAATCTACTTTAATCACCGTTCCAGTACGTGTATGAAGTAGGTTTTCTAATTTGTTCATTCAGTGATTGAAGTGTTATTACATAAGTAGTACGTCTACAGAAATGTATGATTTTTTCACTCTTTGTGTTATTTGAAGTATTCTATGAAAGCACAGAGCAGGTCATTTATTAGCGTTAAGCTGTTCCTATTTGTATCAGTTGTTGTATTTTTATTTTATTTTTTTGAATGATTTATACATTTGTTTATGAGTTTCTTTTTTAATTATTTTTTAAAGTGCAATCTTTGCATTATGCAAAAAACTTTTAATAAACTCTAACAAATAATAAATGCTCATTCCTAGTTGTTGTATTATTTTAAATGATTGATTTTTATATTAGTTTATGCATGTTTACTATAATTTTCTGAAGTCATCTTTGTATCATGCAAAAAAAAAGGCTTCAAATAAACTTTTACGAATAAATAATGATTATTTCCTAATATTTGTTACACTCTTATATTGCACCACATTCATTTATTCAGTTTCCTTAGGCTTAGTCCCTTTAGTCATCAGGGGTTGCCACAGCATAATGAACTGCCAAATTCCAGTATCCAGCATATTTTACACAGTGGATAACCTTCCAGCTGCAACCCAGTGCTGGGAAACATCCATACACTCATTCACATTCATACACTATGGCCAATTTAGTTTATTCAATTCCCCTATAGTACATGTCTGTGGACTGTGGGGGAAACCGGAGCACCTGGAGGAAACCCACGCCAACACGGGAAGAACATGCAAACTCCACACAGAAACGTCAACTGACCCAGCCGGGACTCAAACCAGTGACCTTCTTGCTGTGAGACGACTTTGCTAACCACGGAGCCACCGTGTCGCCAATAGTACTACATAGTTTTACAAATTCATAAAATTCAAGCATTATTACAAGGCAGCTACAACTTGCCCCAGAAGTCAATCTCATGGAAATATAGTCTGCCTCATGGAAAGACGCAAAAGTGGGTATAACATAGCAATATTTATTAATTCATTCAATCATTCAATGATTATTTGTTATTATTTCATGCTTCTGATTGGTTGGAAGGTGGGCAATTAAATTGTTTAAAGCACAGGTAGTTCTAGTCAGTTAAGTTTAAGACACACAGAACAAAATGGCGGGTAACACTTTATTTTGATGGTCCATTTGAGTATTAGTAGACTGTCTGCTTAATATCTGTTGATACTGCTCCTTCAACAGACATTTAACTGACTATAAGAAACTTAGCAAATACATGTCAACTTAAACTAAACCTAACCCAACAGTCTTATAATCTAATAAGAATTAGTAGGCATGTAGATGCAATGTAACTTAAGTTCAACAAACGGGCCATTAAAATAAAGAGTGACCAAATGGAGAAACAAAAAATTTAGGGGGGAAACGCAAATATATTAATAACTATTTAATATAATACAGTCAAGCCTGAAATGATTCATATATATTCAGTCTTGAAGGTATATTACACAAAAAAATGAAGCCCTTAGAATTTTTCCTTGCATTCTGAGTCAAGCAATCATACAATTATAACTTGTATAATATAATACTTGTATTAATATAATATTAATACAATTATATTCATGTTTACTTGTATTCACTAACTTGTATGTTCACAGCTGATTCTCTCTGTATATAATGTTGATAGTACACCCATCTGTAAATATCACCATAGTTCTTCTATAATGGCACTTTATGACTTACACCTATATCCTGCACTTGCTGCTATTGCACTCCTGGTTAGCCCTAAACTGCATTTCATTGTCTCATATAGTATATGTGTAATGATAATAAAGTTGAATCTAATCTAATCCATAGCGCTTTTCACAAAAGTTATCATTCCAAAGTCGCTGTACAAAAGGTGCACATCATTACATTACAGTCTCAGAAAAGTTGAGGAGTTGTGTGAAGGGTTGGCAGTGTATAATAAACACAGTCAGGTCTAGTATGTGGTGTCCGCTGGGTCTTAAAATGACTTAAATCTCAAAAGCTACATTTTAGGCCTTTCAAAGTCTTTAATCTACTGGAATGTTGTGTGGTCAATGAAGTTAATTTAACTTTTCTCATGTATAGCTACCCAATCTGGCCATTAACACCCTAACAATAACCAACAATCTCGATACAACTTTTTACTTTCAATTACAATTACTTTCCTTACAGTAACACTTGCTTAAAAGTTCTCCATTTATTAACTGCTGAGGATGCTGACCTGACCTATATTTTTATAATTAAATTATTATTATAGTGGACAGAAGTAATTGACAGACATGTTTTGTTTTATTCTTGGTAAGGATTGGGGTTTGTTATTAAATATATTTGAAAATTAATTTTAAAAATATTCAAACTAAATTATTATTGTATTATTAAATGTAATAAAATTTAAATAATTTTTAAAAGGGCAAGTAAAAATATTTTTCTTACTAGGATATTCGAAGAAAAAAATCCTTAGCATTTAGCCCTGTATAAGTCTAAATTTTCATTCATAATGGTAATTCATAATTCATTCATAATTATAAATGTTTTATATAGTCTTAAATTTTACCTGGTGAAACCTGCAGAAACACTGTAGTACTTAGCCTCTCTGTGAGTCTACATCTGAACACAGCAAACTGCATTTCAAAATCACCATGAAATGCTGGAAAAAAATTAAAGACACCAATGTTAGCCACTTTGCTATCTATTTACAAAAAGATGAGTCCATAGATTGCCTGGAGTGGCATATTTGTAAACCAACACAATTCAAACAGGTCAATTGTGGCACATACAGTAAATACACTATCAACACTAATAAACACAAAGCAGGTTGAGTTTTCTTTTCAACTTGTCTGAGCGGGCAGACACAGGAGAAACCTACAGTTACAAAACAAAACAAATCTACAAAAGGGAAATGTTATCCAATGTCCCTTTTTAACAATAGTGTTTCTGTGGTATAGTAAAATTTGACTGCCAGAAACTCACCTGTGGCTTTAGGCCAGCTTGAGTCAATGATCAATCTGTTCTAGCACTGATTTGCACACATACAGCTAAATAAGTAACGTATTACATTTTGTAGAAAACAAAATGCACAGCTTTTATCCCTTTTAGAAGCATATTTCAGGGTGACAGGGTGGCTCAGTGGTTAGCACTGTTGCTTCACAGCAAGAAGGTTGCTGGTTTGTATCCCGGCTAGACCAGTTGGCGTTTCTGTGTGGATGTTCTCCCTGTGTTGGCGTGGGTTTCCTCCGGGTGCTCCGGTTTCCCCCACAGTCCAAGGACATGCAGTGTAGGTGAATTGGATTAACTAATTTGTCCGTAATGTATGTGTGTGAAAGTTTGTATGGATGTTTCCCAGTACTGGGTTGAAGCTGCAAGGGCATCCGCTGTGTAAAACATATGCTGGATAAGTTGGTGGTTCATTCAACTGTGGCGACCCGTAATGAATAAAGGGACTAAGTGAAGGAAAATGAATGAATGAATAAACATATTTCCACATTATCTAATTCCTGACAGCAGCCTTTCAAAACCAACATCCCTTGCATTTGTAAACTGCCTGCAAGTCAAAGGTCAATGAGGCTTGTAAGTCTGCACACTTCTTTCTGTGGATGATTCTGCAGTGTTAAGAAAAAGACAAAATAGTGTGAATTATAGGCAAATCTGAATTTAATGAACATAAAACAGATACATAAGCTACTATTTCCATAACTTGTAAAAAGCCATAAAGCTGGATCAGTTCGCAAAATAAGGAAAAAAGTAAAAACATACTACAGAAAATATTTGGCCTTCGTGTTGCTGTGGCATTATTTACACTACATACAGTATTTTCATATATGACATTATTGTCATATTTGCCATTATATCCTTATCGATAAGGCACCAAATGCTAAGTAGCATGATCTTTTTATTTCTTTTTTTTTACCAAATTGTGCAGAAAATGTACAAAACTATACAAATAAAACTATCACATATGAACACAGTCCATCAAAAGAAAGGCAAAGTAAAAATAAATAAATGGAAATGTTATGACGTAGTTGTGAGACCTAACCCTCTTTTTAATCCTTAATTAACTGATCAGACAGCGGATTTAAAGGAATACTCGTTATAATAAATCTGATTTACATCTCGATTGTTAATGACTATGATAACGTAAACGTTTACTTCAGATTGAGATGAATATCAAGCTGTTGTCAGCTGATCAACTGAATCTACTATGAAATACAATTTGAATATATTGCAATTGAACATCGTGGATTTACCAGTGTTTCAGAGTCCCATGAAAAAATAGAAAATACTTTTCTGCACACAAAATGATCATTACTACATATTTAATGTGCCTGCTTTTTTAAAATCTTTTTAAATAAAACCCATAATTCTGCCCTTAAGCGGGGGAAATAACGTGGTGCTACATCTCGACTTTGTGTAAAAGTTGCATTTCCTTCAAATAGAATTTTAAATACAATTAAAAAGAACCAAATACACACTACCTGACAAAAGTCTTGTCATCATAGTCCCAGTTGAAAGAGCAATAAATAATGACTTGACTTCTAGTTGATCATTTGGAAGAGTAGCAGATAAATCATCTGTTGAACTGCATCCCAATCATCAAAAATACTGTTTAAAGACTTATTGGAACCTGCATGGAGCCAATATTCTTAAGAATTCAGTCAAGTTCGGTGAAGGAAGAATCATGGTTTGGGGTTACATTCGGTATGGGGGCGTGCGAGAGACCTTTGTATCGACATATTTGTGCTGCACATTACATTACAAACCACAGGAGAGGGCAAATTCTCCAGCAGGACAGTGCTCCTTCTCATACTTCAGCCTCCATGTCAAAGTTCCTGAAAGCAAAGACGGTCAAGTTGCTCCAGGATTGGCCAGCCCAGTCACCAGACATGAACATTATTGAGCATGTGTGGGGTAAGATGAAAGAGAAGGCATTGAAGATGAATTCAAAGAATCTTGATGAACTCTGGGAGTCCTGCAAGAACACTTTCTTTGTCATTCCAGGTGACTTTATTAATGAGTTATCTGAATCATTGCAGAGATGTATGGATGCAGTCCTCCAAGCTCATGGGGGTCATACACAATATTAATTATTGTTCCACTGCACCATGACATTATATTCTATACTGTACATTATTTCTGTTAAATGACAAGACTTTAAAGAGTCAGACCTTACTCTCCAAATTAAATAATTAAAAATCAAGGCCTGATCATATTTTATTTTGGTATAATAAGTGTAATCTAGAGGCTTTTGCCTTTCATATAAGCCATTTCTGATACCAAATGATCAACTAAAAGTCAAGTTATTAATTGCTGTTCCTAAAACCTGTACAGGCGACAAGAGTTTTTTCAGGTGGTGTATTTATACTGGATGATGATCATCACCAAATAGATGACGTGGTTTCAAATGACCAAAGATTTTAATGTTTAGAAAGTAAACAACCACAAAAGGTGTCTAAACATCACTATAAAGAATTGCCAAAAATCGAACAGAATACTCACACATTTGAACCCTCTGTTGATACATTACAATGTATAAACAACAAGCAGCAAACACTTATTCTGCCTTAAAATCACCTTACAAAAAAGATTTATATTGAAATATTCAAAGAACATTTTACAATTGGGTGCCGAGTTTTGTCCTTATCAAAAAAGCCTCTGTAACCATACCAAGGAGAACAAATTCTTTGAAAATGTAAAAGCAACATGCATCATCTGTTTAGCTGTTGCTGCCGAATATATAAAGTCATCTTTTTCTTTATGATTTTTGTGTATATTCAGTCATCAGTGAAAACGTTACAGCAATACTGTGTATTTTGAAATAAAAGAGTTAATGAAGTGGCAGGTTTAGGAAATCTGGGCAAATTCTAGACTGAGGCCTTTAGAAATTGTAAACCGACAGCTACATTTGAAGTAGCATGACATATTAGCTGTAGCACAGGGATCCGTTTTGAAACGACACGATCAAAAGCTCTCCATCTGCTGTAAACATCAGGAGTCGCTCGCTTGTGTTCCGCGCTGTCAAACAATAAATACGTCTGTCTTTGAAAGGCATTTAAGATTATATGGAAGTTTGAAACATCTATCATACGTTAAGAAAAATAAAGTGCATATACAGTAGACACCTTTTGTATACACAAATTAATGTACTTTAACAAGTACAACTCTTAGTAAACAAGGTCAGATGGCGCATATCCACACAGGAATATTCTTTTGTTTTGTTTGTTTTTTTTTTCTCCAGGAAAGTCTTAAAATACGGTATTCTTCAAAGTGTTTTCATTTTTCGTGTGTTTACAAAAAAATAAGTAGTCCATCAGTTGAACTGAGAGACGTACCATGCTCTTTCAAAATGTACCTTGTATTTATAAACTTAGCAAAATGGTAAGAGTTTGAATCGCCAGTGTAAATATGCATGTATCCCGGGGGGAGAATCGTATAAATAGTGTGTTTTGAATATCCTTTTTGTTTTATTCGTGTGTTCGGCGATTACCAAAAATACAGTTGGTATTGGCCTCCTGCCCTCAAAATGTCCAGCTTTGGGAAAGAGGTCAAGGCAGCGGTTTTGTGTTCAGAAACCTTCATCCAGTGGCTGTTTGATTGCCGATGACTCGCAGGATCTCTCGGTGAATGCCAGCCTCCTGGGTGTTTATACTGGTGTCACCTACCTGTCCGTCCTCGTAGCTAGACGGTGAGAGGTTACAACAAGACAAAAGAAGAAAAAAGGAGTTTTAGTTAGATTCAGTTCAGTTCTTCAACTATTAATGAAGATTGGTAATATCAGATGTGCTGCCTTTATATTCTGAACACTTTAAATAAGTGAGATAGAGATTGATGATTCACTCAAATGAATTGAATGTTAATGTATTCTGAATTATATTTTAGTGGTTCAACTGTAATCATACGAAGATCCAAGAACACTTTTGTTCTGTAAAAATGATTTTATCCACTAATGTCTTCGCTCCCGTGTCAGTTCAGGGTGTGTGTTTATTATGGATAATACAACACATTGCCAGTAGAGACAGTAGCAAGATACACCCAGTCCTGAAATGACAGTGGAACCCCACTGCCTACTAGTGTTTTGAAAGTATTATTCCAGAGCAGCACAGACAGAATGCCGAAATAAATTCTGACAATTTTAACAGTGACATTTTCAAGTCATGTGCTGTGGGATATGGGAATCATTTGATACAGAAGTTGAAATCAGGCTTTATTATCAGGCCTTCTTTCTAAAATTAGTAAATGTTCATATGAATTATGGGAATAAATTATGAAGTGATTACTTGCAAAAAATTTAATAAAATTACTTTTTTAAGTTATTTTTAACCATGTTGTGTGCACAAACCAGCTAATACTTTGGTGGCTTAGAAAGTTTGATTGTGCTGTAGTGTGTGTGTTGAAAAAAACTCACATGCAAATAGAAAAACACTTATTTGGAAAACATTATTATTTGGATTGTACCTAAGACCATGTCCACACTAATACCTTTTCATTTAAAAGTGCTTATATTTCTTTTAGTTTTGGGCTTCCATCCACACTAAGATGACGTTTTTTAGGAAATGAAAATGCTGTCCAAAGTGGATAAATCTGAAAACACTGTTTTTGTGCTTTAGTGTAGACTGTGAAAACAGGCTTTCAGCTAACATGGTGGACGACATTGTAAAGCATATTTTTTGAATGCTGTCCATTTTGACAGGTTTATTTAAGATTAATGTCAATTTTTACATGCTCCATATTGCTCTTTTAAAAAGACACAGAACATTTACTGGGAGCTACTGTTCACTGGCAGAAGCATACAAATATCACGCAGGTAAAAGTGTCTTATGTCTGTGTGCATGTGCAATACTGAACAAAAGCATTTTTAGTCAGTTTAATGTGGATGACAGAAATATAAAAACAGTAGTGTGGACGTGGAGACAAAAACTACATATTCAAATTTTTATTGGCTTAGTGTAGCCTAAGCTGGAAGCAGCCGACTATTAATTTAAAAAATTGTCAATTTTTGGGTTCTACCAACACATTTTTGTTGTGGTGTGCACTATTTGCAGTGTGTTTCTGTATTTGCATGTGTTGTGAAAATTCGCATGTGCATGTTTTGTCAAATTAATGAAGACATTTTCTCCCTTTATTAATATTTTTCTATTAGCATGTTTTTTGTTAGTTTAAGAGCATTTGAGCCCTCTCCACCATCATATAAGCGCTGTTTGAGACAATGAGACATACTATCTACATTTAGCAACAGAAACAAAGATTGATATACAGTATATGTGTACATAGATAACATAAATGTACTTACACAAAGAAAAAACGTGTGCAGACGTGATCTGTATTTGGAACCACCCAGATGTCACCATGCTTGTGCAGGTCAGGAGATGTAATAACTGGTGTATTATAAAATAAAACAGTGATAATTACTAATTAGCATTTTACAGATTCCAAATGACAATCTATATTAAGATATTAAGGTCAAATGTAAACCTTCACATAAGGCTATGCATTTCAGGTTGCGGCTCTGCAGAAACTGTGGGTTCTGGCCTTTCTTCTGTGACTGAAAGCAAAAACAGAAAAATGTGGTTCATGTCCAACAGGTTTCAGGATGCCAAGCATTGTGAATAAAGCCCTTTTTTAAAGCAATCAATGTGCTAAAGATTATTAAATAGTACTAAACAACATTTACTACATTTAATACCTGCAAATGAACAGTAGACTTGTTGGCAGCAGTTTCATCTTTTGAAGCAACTTTCTGCTGTTTTTTGTTCATCCCTTTGGTGGAAAAAAGATAAGTATGCCAGGCAAGTACACATGTAACAAATATTTTTATTATACTATTATGCAAACATTGATGTAGAAAGTCAGTGTTTTTGGAAGATATTTTGTTCATAAAGGTTTTAAGACCTGAGTAGCCAAAGGATATGCTTGATAATGGGCTGAGATAGATTCCACTCCCATAGATTGCACCATGCAGCTGAAAAAAAAACAATGAAGCATTATGAGAGTGAGTTACTGGAATTATTTCAAAAAGTGTCTGCTGAAATATCTCCATACCCCCTCTCCATTCCCACCAGTGTACATGTTTTTACTCTTCTAGAGACGTACTGTATAAAGGTTTAAGCTAAAAATAAATGATGCATAATTATGCTATTGCATTATATTTCCTTAATAAAAACATTGGCTTCATAGTCAAACCTCATCGAGACTAATTACATTAAAAATATGTTCATTCCCTTCAACCATTATGATCTGTCTTTAAAAGAAAATCTAGTCACTACCTGAAGTCTCGTGTTTGATGCCACGACCAAACCATTCCTCAAAATGGAGTGCCAGTTTTCTATGTGCGATCCACTGAAAGAGACAAAGAGGGAGTTTCAAAACTGAAAATTCAACACCCAAGTCTTCTCAAGCCAGCAAGACATTTCACAGCTGTAGCTTGAATTAAGTTTTTTTTTTTTTTTTTTTTTTTTGCAAAAGACAGATTTTAAACCAACTCTATGATGGCACATTTAAATCACAGCTTTTAAAATTGATAATTTACACAAAAAAATAACATTTTGTCATTAATCACTCACCCTTTGACTTTTCTTGATTTTCTGAACACAACTAAAGAAATCTGAATTTAAATCTGAGAACACACAGAAGAATGTGTTTTATTTGTTTTTAATTTCATTCATTTTTTTTCTTGTCAGCTTAGTCCCTTTATTAATCCGGGGTTGCCACAGCGGAATGAACCGCCAACTTATCCAGCAAGTTTTTTACGCAGCTGATGCCCTTCCAGCCGCAACCCATCTCTGGGAAACATCCACACACACACTCATACACTACGGACAATTTAGCCTACCCAATTCACCTATACCACGTCTTTGGACTGTGGGGGAAACCGGAGCACCCGGAGGAAACCCACGCGAAGGCAGGGAGAACATGCAAACTCCACACAGAAACCAACTGAGCCGAGGTTCGAACTAGCGACCTTCTTGCTGTGAGGCGACAGCACTACCTACTGCGCCACTGCCTCGCCCTTGTTTTTAATTTGTATTTTTAATTTTCAATAACTGTATACAATTTTTTATTAGTTTTAGTGATGAGAATTACAATTGTAAATGTTTTAATAAACAGAAGTGTTTTGTCAAAATCAGCTCCAGAACTAAAAAGCTTTTTGTGATACAATAGTACAAATTTAAAAGACTAACCAAAAAAAAAATCTTTATAATTGAGAGACTCCTAAAACATTAGAAAAAACAATGATTGTGCATTAAATGAGACATAAGAGACCATTTTCTTTATGACTCTGTGTCAAGATAAAAGAATTTCGACTTTCGCATAATTGTCAGATCTAAAGTAGTGGATTTTCTGATGGATGTTTGCTCTAGGGTGGAGTAACATATCCTTTCTTTTGTCTTTATGATTATCAATAATGTTTAGGGGCCTAGATTATATGCTGTCATCCCTCTTCAGAGGAAAACAGGAATGATATGTGTGCCATGAAGTGCTTTTTCTCTATGCCAAGTTATTTGTCTTCAGAATCTACAGACCAATTCAAGGGGTCACTGAGACCTCTTGTGGAACTGGACGTTTGATGCTATTTGAACAGCTGTAACTAGTATATTACTCATATCACAGGTTTAGTTTTTTTATTCATCAGGGGTCGCCACAGCGGAATGAACCGCCAACTTTTCTAGCATATGATTTACACAGCAGATGCCCTTCCAGCTTAAACCCAGTACTAGAAAACATCCATACATACTAATTCTTACACACATTCACATACACTACGGCCAATTTAGTTTATTCAATTCACCTATAGCGCATGTTTTTGGACTGTGGGGGAAACCAGAGCAACAGGAAACCCATGCAAGCAAGCAAACTCCACACAGAAATGCCAACTGACTCACCCCTAATAAATATTACTGTATGAAATGATAAATTCTAGCAATTTTGATAAGATGGCTGAGTACAAAACAGTTTTTACTATGTGTGTGGGTTATATTCTTTTGTGGATCATTCTTACAGGTCTGGGGTCAGCTCTGAATAGCCTATCTTGGAAGAGATATGACCCCACCTCTGCACACCTAGAAAATTGTCTTTCAGTATTTTAACCAATCAGGTTAAAACAGCTACATGTATGATGCAGTTAGTGCCATTATGTTAGAGTATATTTATTGTTAGTTTGAGAATGTAAGCAGAGCACCTTACGAACTGATTGTGAGTGTTGAAGCTGGCTTCTGCTGATGAAACTGTAAACAATCTTCAGTAAACGGTCTTTGATTAAATCTCTGACGTTGGGTATAATTTTTGGGTTAAAACGGTCAGTGCCCAACAGTTTCAAATAAGTGGACCAATCAGAAGAACTCAAAGGCTGGGAAAGCATTGCTAGCTTCTTTTTACAGTAGCAAGTTGACATGTCAACAACAACATGGTGGAACTATTTTTGAGCACTGCATCATGTGCAAAGATGCATTCTTTGTGCATTTCTCCAACGTTGTTGCACAGTTGTGAAGTTTTTTTAACCTAATTTGGAAAACAGTATTAGTCATTAGAGTACATGAACCAAACCTTTAGGGCCTGTACCGTGATGGTTTGGGATTATATATACAGTATATAATCCTTTCAATTAATCATGCTAATAATATTGACCGGCGAGGCAGTGGCGCAGTAGGTAGTGCTGTCGCCTCACAGCAAGAAGGTCGCTGGGTCGCTGGTTCGAACCTCGGCTCAGTTGACATTTCTATGTGGAGTTTGCAAGTTCTCCCTTCCTTTGCGTGGGTTTCCTCCAGGTGTTTCCCAGAGATGGGTTGGTGATTCATTCTGCTATGGCGACTCTGGATTAATAAAAGGACTAAGCCAACAAGAAAATGAATGAATGAATAATATTGACCAAAAAAAGTATTATTTTTCCCATAATCAAACGGTCCTAATAAAATATAGTTGGTGCACAAAAAAAGATTTCTGTTGCTTCATAAAATTAAGGTTGAGCCACTGGAGTAATGTAACAGACTGATTTTAATGATGTCTTTGCTACCTTTCTCAAGCTTTGGAGAGACAGCAACAGGCTGTCAGTGGATGAAAAGAAATGGCAGATAGTATTGTAAAAGTATCTTCAGTTGTGTTCAGAGAATCAACAAAAACCTTAGGTCTATGGGACAACATGAGGGTGTGAAATGAATGGGAGAATTTGGACAGCTGGAACTGATTTCCTCTGAGCTGACTTCCAAATGTAATATATTTAGTATAAGTGGACATAATCATAATGCCATTAAGCATTTAAAGCAAGACATTATATATTTCTGCAAGGTTGAAGTGTATAACCTGACATTTGGCAACTACAGCATTTGTTCAGCACACCCACAAACCATGCACAAAGTGCCTGTTTCATAATGCATACAAAAGTGCCAAAGGCTTACAAAAAATAATGACCAGCTCCAACCAGACTGAAATTAGAATACAATTCAGGACCAGAAAAAACACAATTTCCTAAAGCCCTGCTGTACCCCAATCATGGGTTTGTAATAATGTAGGTCAAGGATAAAGGAAGTGCAGTTGCTCAGGTGTATTGTGCACTGGCTGTTTGAGATAGAATTAACTTACTGAAAAGCAAAGGTACTCCCAAAGAGGCCTTTGGCAGCTCTGAAGTTGGATTCTTTGGCTGGCGGACTGCTGAGCAGGAGGAACTGATGGGGTGTGTGCATGAACTTCAGTTGCTGTTGTGATGGAGACAAGATATAAGAGAATATACTTGAGACGTTACGCCTTAATCATTTTCTCTTCTTGAGCTGGAGACTTTGAAAAGTTTCACAGAGACGATGAATTTAAAATAGTCTTCAAAAATACAGAAGAACTAAAAGATGCTTTCTTAAACAGCCATGCTGCTCTCTTAGGGAGCTAAGCCAGTAATTCTATAAAGGATTAATCATTACGTGCCTAACCCTGATACTCTTAATCTACATCTGAGATTTTTACATTTTTTAGAGCATTTGCTTGCAGAAACCTTTTGGGAGTTTTTTTTTTAACAAATGCTTATCTGGATACTCCACCCAAAAAGGAACATTCTCTCATCATTTACTCACCTTCAACCCAACCCAGATCTATGAATATACAGTACACACAGTGATGTTTCAGGAGTGACAACTGTACCTGTACACAGCAGTTAATAGACTATATGCACAGTGTTTTCAGCCAATGATGAACTTCCGGTGAAAGCTTTATGTGACTATTTTCAATTTTAGAAGGTACCTTTTACAGCATCGATGTGGTAATGTAATTCAAATATAATCAGCACAAAAAAAGACAAAAGGCCGTTTAAACGCAAGTGCCGTCATTAGCAGCAGGCTATCACAGAAACTCAATTAAAAATACAAGGGTAAAATTATTTTCCATATTTGAAAGACATGGCGAGGAAAAATATAATTTGATGCAGTGCTTCTTGTTTGGTCAGTAACCCACTTTATATCGCATCTCAGCCAGGCAGTGAAGATCGCTGCTTATTAAAGAAATCAGATCTTAAATGCGGCAATTTTGTACGGGATGACAATTATGCGGAAGCCCTGTGGCTGGCTAACTGAAATTAAAAGTCTGTGTGCATATACCCCATTACCTGCATGTTTCATGTGTGTACGAAACATGAAGCAATTAACAGACAATCAGCACAGCATTTTTATGCTACCTGCTTTGGCTTTCACTATTTATAAACAAAATAATATATTACCTCTCATTATCTCCTTATTTTCTGTAACTGAAGCAAAATAACTATCAATAGAGGCATTGTGCTTTGTTTGCTCACAGAGCACGTTTGCAGTGCTGTTGGATTTATTGAAAATGTTTTAACTGAATACAGCTGTTCCATTCATGAATTGTTAAGTTGTTTTATTTCCAATATAAAACATCAAAATTTTAGGCTTATTGGTTTGTTTCCAGTGTGTTTAAGATCTGACAGCATGAATGAGCAATATAAGCTCTTTCCCTGTAATTTCTTTACACATCCAGAAGAGACACACACATCTCTGATTAGTCATTTACAGCTAGTTGTTCAGTTATGTTCCATACACACTGCATAGAATATTTGTGATTGTGGTTGTCACTTTTTGGAGTTAATTTGGTTGTACAACACAGTTGTCACTACTGAACTGCTAACCCATAATATATGAATTATTACATATTATTATTACATATTTGGGTCTTTAGCAACACAGACCTATATGTTTAACACGGTTCTTTAACTGCTTAAAGTTTTACAACACACCAGCCCTTTGGCCAATTAAAAACTAGCCTGATTTTGACCCAATCACAAACAAACTAAACCAAAAATACAAAAATACAAAACATGCCACTCCCATTCATGAAGTACATATTTTACATCACTGTGTGCATTATACAAAATGTATTTATTTGACAATCAGAATATTAGCAATCATAAAGATTATGTTTTCATGAATAAAATAATTGTACCTCAAAATTGGTATGGTGTCATTTATAAACAAAATAATATTAATGTAATGTGTATTTTATATAGTGCATTTATCATGTATAACCATACATCCAAAGCACCTCACAATCATGAGAGGGGGTCTCTTCACACCACCATCAGTGTGAAGCATTCACTTGGATGATGCAATGGCAAAGTGCTCATCACACACCAGCTATAGGGCCAATTTGGTGAATTGGGATGATTGAGAGGCCATGATGGAGGGAATTTTGCCAGGACATCGGGGTTACACTCCTATCCGCTTGTTAGGTGTGACGTCACGCGAAGCGGCTTCCCGGTCCAAGCGCTCTATTCAACTGAAAGGCGAGACTCATGAAATGGTAATAATAAACGTTTACAAAGCAATTTAATGCTTTCGAAATTCACGATCGCAATATATATGTCCATGCCTAATATCCGATGGCCAGAAAGTGATACGTTTTTTAGAAATTGTTAAATTTTTGGTATTTGTTATGCAGCAAGCCCAGAGATGGTTGTGTACTCTATGATTTTATATAAAATTAACTTTAATGTGTGATAGGAATAAAACGTGATCATAAACGAATGATTTCTCCACTCAAATGTATGGCGGCTTGGACCCGGAAACAGTATACATACGTCACAAACACGTCACCACTTAACAAGCGGATTCTTTACGAGAAGTGCCATGGGATTTTATTGACACTCTCACAGAGAGTCAGGACCTCAGTTTAACATCTCATCCGAAAGATGGCGCCCATTGACAGTATGGTGTCCCCTTCATTAGGCAATAGGACTCACACAGACCACAGGTTGAGCGCCCCCTGCTAGCCTCTCTAACACCACTTCCAACAGCAACCCAGTTTTCTCATGTGTTCTCCCATTAGCTACTGACCAGGTGCATCCCATCTTAGCTTCAGTCAGTAACCGGTCTTAATTATAGATATTTTTTTAAAATCTAAAATAAACATTATAGATATTTCTAATAAAACTGTAAGCAATGAACTGTAGATAACATATACTTTTAAAGCTATTTTTAGCAACAATAATCCTGGAAAGTCCTGACAATCAGTTACCATGGAAACAGAAACAGCCACGCACAGTCTCTCCTCCAGCGCCCTTGCACCTCACAAAAGTGTGCCTACTCTGTTTCATTATTCTAGCACAGTTTTCATAACTGGTAGACTATAAATTCGGTATTTCGACACAACCATAAAAATATAATTGATGCAGTATCTCAAACCTATAACCTGCAGAATAAAAAAATAATAATAATCAACCCACTGCAAGTGTTAACCTGATCTACAAGATTGGCAACCCTGGCATTAGCATAAAAATCTTCTGATCTTTTAAAGACATTTACAAAAGAAGGCTTCAATTTAAGCAGACAGTAATAAATGAGACTAACTGCACTTATTATAGGACATTTGATTAAATTAATTATATAATTAATCAGATATTTAATTCTTGTTGCACAGGAAGCATGTACTGACATTATTACATACATCAGACCACTTTTGACTTTTTTTTTTTACCAAAAAAAAATGTAAAACTTATTTATTTATTTATTTTCTTTCTAAACAGATTGAAATTTGCTTCTGAACTTCTGTAGTTAAAAAACAAAAGAATTAGGGGAGCATATAAACTGGATTATAAACGGTTACTTAAAAGGCACCTATGATGAAAAACTAATTTTGTGAGCTATTTAGACAGAACTGTGTGTAGGTATAGTGTGTCCACTGTTAAATTGGAGGGATTTAAACATAAGTCTATTTTTTAAAAAACATTTGGGGATTCAAATCCCTCCCATTTTAAGGCCAATCACAACGTGACGTAGGAGTGTGGTTTTCCCTGTCCACCGAATTGATTGACAGGTGCCATGTCTGCATAACAACAGGTATACATATGCCAACAAACATTTTTTTACACAGAAACTAGGATTAAACATATGTTACAATTGTCTGTGATCAGCTGCTCCTTAATAATTAGTTATTGTCAATTAATCATCATGTAATTCTTAACCGGTATAATCACCACGGCCGCATGATGCCAGTAAACACGCATATGTGCTTGTGTGTGTGCAAACTGCATTTGTGTGGAACTCATCATTTCAGAAAGGCTTAAATAGACTCCACCACAAATACATCAAATAAACTTACTTGGTATTTTACTTGGTAAAAGGGTTAAAATAGGTGCCCTTTAAATGCTGTGATGTTGTAATGCACACTTATTTCCCTTTGTGTAGTTTCTGAAGCATCATCTTCAAAGTCCACTTGAAATCCAAACTTGCAATGTTTATTTTGCTAGCTCCTATTGTTATTCTTAAGGTGAATAATTAACCGGTTCAAGTTAATCCACTGAAAAAAATGGTTTGTTTTGCTAATCTTCAATGAAAGTCTGAGAATTTGCATCTGCGTTTAGAGTGGTGGTCCTTCAACCCAAGAGCTTCCATAGCAACTCTATATTAATACCCTCTTTTATTGTTGGTTTGCACTTTAGGAAATGATGCACAAAAGAAAGCACAGCCACTTATTCAATACTTAGTTTCAGTTGGAAGCACATCAACACTAAAATAAAAACCTTAGCAACTTCCGGTTGACATGGACTTTTTTCATCCACTTGCACAAACCAGGAGGGGCATGAGGGTCAGTAAATGATGGGTAGATTTGTGGTTGAGTATCCCTTTAATAATAGAAATAAAATATCAGACTTACTCTAGTAACTGTGAGCTTCACTATGTGTGATCTGTTGCTAGATATCACCCTGCAAAGAAAATCCATTTGTAAGTGATTCTGTGACACATTCACAAGTAAAATTGAATTCATTCAATGTACAGTTGAAGTCAAAATTATTAGTCCCCGTCTGATTTTTTTTACATTTTTTTTTAATATTTCCCAAATGATGTTTAACAGAGCAAGGAATTTTTCACAGTATGTCTGATAATTTTTTTCTTCTGAAAAAAGTCTTATTTGTTTTATTTCAGCTAGAATAAAAGCTGTTTTTAATAAAATTAAAAAAAAACTGAGATCAAAATTATTAGCACCTTTAAGCTTTATTTTTCTATAGTCTACAGATCAAACCATTATCATACAATAACTTGCCTAATTACCCAAACCTGCTTCGTTAACCTAATTAACCTAGTTAAGCCTTTAAATTTCACTTTAAGCTGTATAGAAGTGTCAAAAAATATCTAGTCAAATATTATTTACTGTCATCATGGCAAAGATAAAATAAATAAGTTATTAGAAATGAGTTATTTAAACTATTATATTTAGAAGTGTGTTGAAAAAAAATCAAACCGGGGGGGGCTAGTAATTCTGACTTCAACTATACAGGTACATACATACATATTTGAGTAATTGTACATGACATGATGACATTGATTGTCCTAGATACTACAATGATACCTGCTCTCTGTAACCATGTAAATAAAACTATCAGAGCGGACCATCACATTTAGAACATCATTCAAATGCAGAAGTAAAAGAGAAAAGCATTAAAAGTGTCATTCTATCATACCACTGCAGTAGTGGGTGAGCCAAAGGATCATGCCTGTCCATTTGTTTCTTGATCTCCAGGTATGGAGCCTATGCAGGAGAAATGATCAACGCATTACTCTCGCAAATATACAACAAAGCACTGGCTAACTTGTATGCATACTATAAAACACTATAGTCAGTGCTCGATTTAAGGGGGGGTTGGGTTTGTGGTGGCATACCCCTTTGGGAAAAAATTACAAAAAGCATCCCCTTGGTAAAACCACCATCGCCTTTAGACTAACAACAGTGTGTGTAATGTAAAACTTATCATGCAAATTAAATATTTAAATTCTCTATTTTGTGGTAATTTATGATTTTATAATTTATAAACAACAATAACTGACCAATCATAACTCAGTACTGTAATAAGGCGTCATGCACAAGCATAATACAGTTTATTGCGTCATTTCGCACGATTTTCAAAATGTCAAAGAGAGCAGTTCATGCAACTTTTTGCATTGATGTTTAGTTGTTTAATATTACATATGTATGTTATACTTGCCATGCATAACTGCATTTTCACTGTAAAACACAGTTAACAAAACTAACCTTTACTTTATCAACCCAAGTTTTGCCAATAATATCGAAGTTACAGCAGATTCTAGGTTCCCTGTTGCTAAAACAAACCTTTATTATTATCTCTAAAATCAGAGCACAAATGATGTGATGCATTTTTAGAATCACTGTTGTCCAAATGTTGCGCCGTTTTCTCGAAAATGCTTCCAAACAGCTCAGCCATTGTACAGCTCCATACCAAGTTTTGTTTATGAATGAATCTTGAGCTTTGATATGATACAATGAATCAGTCGTCCATTCGGAAAGACATTTGTAAATTAATTATCTGTTTAAACAACTTTTTAATGAATCATTCAGTGACAAGACGGAGACTTGTCTCCATCTACTGGGGGTTTTAGTTTCAAATCGTATAATATTTTTATTGTTAATTTCATTGCACTCATGCCACCTCCTACGGCTTGTTAGACAGTCAATTTATAAATAAACAGTGAATTTATCTAAAAGCTAACTTTGTTTTTTTTTTTCTTTGCCATCTTGTTGTGTCAAGAAGAATTCTATGGATTTAATCTGATTGTAGGATAATCATCCTGATATTATTTCAGTTCATTTATTAAAAAGCTCAAGTAGTTGAGCCACATAAGGTAAAAAATTGTTGTAAATAAAAAGGTACATTTATATTTAGTCAATCAAACAGTTGCTTGTGGTCAAAGACTGACATTGTCCATTAATTATTGTCCCTTTTAATTTCATGATATTCTTGAAAATGACATGCTTAAGATTGTTAATGGTTGGTGGTTATTAAAAAAAGCATTTTCTCACATTAAAAATGTATTTAGACCTATTTTGTTATCATTGTTTGTTATCATTGTGTGTGTGTGTGTGTGTGTGTGTGTGTGTGTGTGTGTGTGTGTGTGTGTGTGTGTGTGTGTGTGTGTGTGTGTGTGTGTGTGTAGCTACTGGACACCACCCAACCCCACCCCCCGTACCATCCACCTTGAATTTTTTTTTACAATTAGACCACTGACCATAGTATACGGTTATAATTTAAACAAGGACTTGTTGATTTATATGTTTAATCAAATGTTATTTGAACATATATTTTTTAAATCTACTACTTATAAGATATTACACATACTATAATGTATATTTTAATCCCACTAAAATTTATCAATATTAAAAGATTGAAAGCACTGAAACAATGTATCAAAAGGTTGCTACTGCAATAAACTAGTTGATACCTGGGTCATTTCTCTGATAGATGTGATGCTGTCAAGTGCTCTCATCACCCGGTCATAGTCCTTTTTCTGAAGAAGAACCCAAACAATCAGTGTAACATTCTTCCTTAATGGCAGCATTAAACGTTAGACAGGTTGAATGGAATGCTCTTAGAGTTTTGAGTACCCTGGGGTTGAAGGCAAGTGCTTGTGAGTCATTGGGATCCACCACAGAGGGATATGGCTCAAAAATGACAACTTTCCTCGGAGACTCCAGCGCAGATCGGCACATGGAGACTAGTAGATCTACTACCTGTGCATACAAATAGGGTTTGTTAAGGCATTTGGTTATTCTGTAGACCAGGGTTCTCAAACTGCCGTCCCGTGGGCCATTTGTTAAACTTTTGGTTAAGCCACAATTGATTGGGACAGGATAAATATTATGTCTATTATTATGTTGTAGCACTTTCATATCAATTTAAAAAACTACAATATGTACAATAAGAAACAAAAAGAAGGAGATTTGACTACATATACTCTGGTAAAGAATGTCTGAGTGCATCCATTACATCAGTTTTCCACTTTTTTGTTGTGCTTGAATTTGTGTGTTTATTTATACCTGAGCACCAGTGGCAATCTCATCAGCAGCCTCATTCATGACCCCTAGCGTTTGGAAGGCGAAAACACACAGTTCTCTCTCACACACTGTGGGCTGCAGGACACATATAAACAAGCTCATTAGAGCAGAAATTGTCATCAATCATTCAATCAAAAACAGAAATTTATCACTTTTATTAAACAAATGTTTGAAATAGAACAACATGGAACAATAATATGAAAAATAATAAGAACAAATATTTTGGCTTATGAAAAGATAATGTACAGTATAAAGATAATTTCTTGCTTTCTCAAATTTCTTAGATTTTTTTATTATTAAACTAAAACATGCAATGTAATATCTGAGAAAACAGAAATAGTCTCCCTTTTATTTTGACTAATTAATTTGACTGAAATATTGTATGTTAAGATTTTAAATTTAATAAGTAACCTGCACATAACTTGCATATTTATCAAAATGCCTCCTGCAGATATTTTTCTACAAATATTTAAAAGTAATTTTTAAGTAGCCATATAATGTAGCTAATAACAAATTGAACATTCAAACGCTTTACATTGCAAGATAAAACCTCCCCCATTTCCCTCTTATTTGTGTAAGTTGTTGTGTTTCAGATCTGGATTTTGGCAGATAATAGTCAATGGCTTATATAGGTTGCTAATATTTTTACAACATACACACACAGCAAAATAAATCTGGAGATAACAAAAGAAAGTCTGCTGAAAAAAAAAGGAAATGCTGAGACTGTTCTGGATGACTTCAAACTTGGACAGGCTACGTTTACAAGACAATGATGTAGTCAAAAAGTATGCCAGACCAGTATTTGGTGCTGTTATTAAACAGAAGTGATGGTGTGTATGTAGAGTTTCAGGTGTTTACATGGACACGACAACATCAGCATTTTTGTAACCTGTTTTCAGATTTACATTATTTTTTCAGTCCCAAAAGCTAGGTTGTCATGAACTGGCAAACTGCAAAATTTTTCCTATTTTGCCTGAAAACGTTATGTAAATTTCCCTTAATAAAGATTGTATGAAAAATATAACAGTTTTAGCAGCTCACTGTTTTACAGCTACAGCAAGACAAACATTTATATCCAAATGTTCCTTTCCCAAGAAGAAAACCTAAACAATGATTTTAAAATATGAACTGTTTAATTAACTCAGTTCAATTTACTGAATATAATTTGTTTGTGTACCTGGAAAACAACTACATACATGGGTTTTTACTCTAGTAAATTACTCTTTGATTTGTTCAATAAAAGTCTATGTCAAGCTTGTGTGGACAAACATTTATATTGTGCATTATTTTCATGTTTAAAAGTGTAAGTGACCAAATTAACTGGCTCGATCTATGAAAAGGGTGTCAAACTCAGTTCTTGAACACCTCTTTTTAAAGGATTAGCCAAACAAATATTACCAATCCTAAATTTTTGAATGCTAGAGTAATACTTATTCTATTTAGAACACTCTGGTATCTTTACTGGCTCATTTAAGAGCATTCAAGACTTATATCAATTAGGGCTGGACGATATGGCAAAAATTTATATCACGATATATTTCTTAATTTCCGTAGATACGATAAAATTCCAATATCGATATGGACAATATTAAAAAGCCAGGAAAGAACTGCCTAAAAAGTCTATAATACCTACAGACTCTTACAACTTAAAAAAAATAAAATAAAAACAGCACAAAAAATATGTTCACTTTTTATTTGTATTTAGCCTTTACAAGAAATGTGAAATAAACGATTAAATAAATAAAACTCTTAGACCCAGCTTATAGAGACAGTTCGTACGTTTTTTTTGTAAATGCTAAATATTTAGCAATCAAAATAATTCCAAAATCTGACAATTATGACACTGTATGTAAAAACATAGAAAAAGAATAATAATTATAATAATAAAAAAATCAAAAAGAGTATAGGCTACATTAAATTTTGCAATAGAAAACAGTTGTTTAAGTATATTCATAGTTCTGGCTGCTCTTCATCTTGAACGTCCTTTAAGGGTTCTACCTTTCTATTTATATTTGTGTGTGTTATTACCCAATTAAATTAAAAAGGTTTAACATAAAACAGTTCTTATATATTTTATACAGTCTATTTATATAGACTAATATTTTATATTATTTTATAAAACACATTTTTATTATTTAAATGATGTAATACCTATATTAATAAAAAAAAATTCTATTTTAAAATATGTTTGTGAATTTTATTTTGTAAGTTTGCACGAGTGCCATATGCCAGCATGCAGCGTGTTTATGTGTATGTGAGTGTTAATGTGGGTGTTTATGCAAGGATTGAGTTTATATCTAACTGCAAATGCGGGTGTATGCATGCATCAAGTTTATATGTATATCCGCAAGTTTCATAAATGTTTTGAACATTAAAAAAAAATTGTATAGGTGTATATGCGAGTAATTTCAAGGTGTATATGCACGTGTTATGTATGTGTTGATGAGCGAAGGTTGATTTGAATCCTACACGGCGCCTCATAGCCATCTGTGTCTGCTTCATTGCCTTCTCGACACCTTCTCTTGACTGGTTTGAAGCTACAGAGCACGAAAACTATAAGTTTTTCGAAACTTAAAGATGAACCACTTCCACACCACAACATTAGTTTTTCCTCTCTTATAAACTATTCCATCTGCATTCTTACTTGTGAAAGCTTGTTCATTCGCGACGGAGCTTAACCAACTGCTGAGCATCTTTCTGATAGCTGAGCACTGACGTCATACAGTGATAAGTGATGATGTATAAGATTTTAATATATATATATACAATATATATATATATATATATATATATATATATATATATATATATATATATATATATATATATATATATATATATATATATATATATGCAAATTGTATCGAAATACCGGAAATGGGTTTAAAATCATATCACCGTTATTGAAAAAAAAATCTATTGCGATATATATATTGATATTGAATTATTGTCCAGCCCTAATATCAACCCAGTACTTCTGCTGGCAAAACAAACAGACTCACTCTGAGCATTGGTCCATTTTGGAACACATGAGGTTCATCACAGACCACACAGAACTCATTCAGCACAGGGATACGCTGCTCTGCATACTCCATAGTCTGCAAATACACATCATACTGTATCATTATCAATACATACAGTGTATAAGTAACATCCATTCAGTAACACTTGTACCCTCAGAGAGACAGAAAAACTCCATCAAACCCCTAATAGAAATTCAGAAGAATTCTATTAAAATTAAAACATTTTCCATTCCATTTGGGATTGACTGGGAGTAATAACAGATGACTTTTTCTTAAAGGTTTGTTACACATTCTGTGTTAGTCACAAGAATACTAATGACTGGAGAATGTCAATCTATTGCCTTCAAGCTTAGTTTATTTCAGAGACAGGATTTTGCAAGTAAAAACTCAGACCCCAAATACTGTTTGATTAATAAAATAAAGCAAAAGGGGACATGCAGATACACCGTAAAAAAATCTGTTACTTTACTTCAAAAAAGGGAGTAAACCTGTTGCCTTAAATGCAAAATGCACATAGTTTGTTTACTTAATGATTATAACCCAACAAGTTTGCTTTCTTTTTTAAAGTCAATTAATCACTGTTGTACAGTGTACTTTATATTTTTAATTTTACCTGAACAAGGAAGCCTCTGTCTCTTACTGGAATGGATTTGGCTCCGACATTTGGCTACACAACACAACAACAAGAAAAAATGTTGTTAGCAAAGTACACAAAGCTGTTTTCAATGCCTCAGGACATTTGTGGGACGCTATTACAGCACCTTGCTGCAAACTGTTTTATTAATTAATCTCCAGTCAACCTATTAAATTCTCTCATCTCTGCCCAGTCAAAGTAATCAACAGTACAATTGTTAAACCTTGTTTTTGCTGTTAAATACTGCTGTTATACCAAACCAAACCACCAATCAAATGAGGTCAGAGGTCAGTCCTAACTTATTACATAAGCTCTAGTGTAGAGGCTACGCCTAATACTGAAAGCCCCTGAGGGGTTGTTGGATGAGCAACTTTAGTCTTTATGAAAATCAACAGACTTTATGTCTTTTACATCAGTGTTTATATTTATTGTTTGCTCACAACAATAAACTGAAATAATCCAAAGTGTTTGTACAAAACATTCAATTAGATCTATTCTCATGTCAAACGCAGCCACCTGCTGTATTGTAGCTTAAACAGCAATAAAACAACAACAACACTAATCACAGAGGTATCTTCAGTCAAGCAACAGCTGTTACCTGAACATTCATTCCCACCTACATTTATACCAATATTCAATATTTCAAAATACAGTGATAATGAATATTTACAATATTGATACCGTGGGCACGTCAAAATACTGTGAATTTTTAATGATTAATTTTTACATGTTAATCTGACCTACTACATGCTGAAATATTGATTGAAATTTCTGTCTTATAAATATTGGGCTATTGTATACAATAAGACTTCAAAAAACATTAGTTTATTAAACTAAACTTATGTTAAAATCTACAAAAGCTTTAATTAAACTCAAGTGATGTCATTTTTTTTTTATTATTGCCTAATAACACGTTAGAATCACAGTCCTTATCTGATTACGTCATATTTTTTTATTAAATAAAGTTAACTAATAAAATTTTGTTGTATTTTTTTTACTAACATAGTTACTGTAATAAATCGGCTTTTTCTCACTGTTTATTTTAATCTATTAGCTAATATTTACCAATGAGACTTTTGTTTAAAGTCTTACTTCTTGTATTTTATATACTTTATATATATATACTACAATTTAATTAGGTTCAAACACTTATGATTACTCTGAACATGTTTCTACAGTAAATAAATACACTACTTTTTTTGTTATTCTACCTGTTAAAGTAACCTTTTTTGCAGTTTAGGTTAATACCAAATTATCTGCAATAATACTGTATACCATGACAAAAGTGTCATCAATTAAATTGCAAAAAAGGAAATTTGAATATCATCACAAGTCTATTCCCACCTATATTGATGTGAGTCCCACACAGTGCTTAGTGTACAAATAAAAACTCACAGGGATGACCAAACGGCCCCTAGATCTCGTGCATTCCTAAGTGTCCTTACCTGAGGTGTGGAAGAGAGTGATGGGGCCAGGATACCGATTAGCCCTGAGGTAAGGGAGAGGCGTCTGCTCTCGGTGACAGGCTCTTTAAAGATGTCGCTCTTGCCTATCTTGGTGTTGCTGGAGTAGGACCTGCTGAGCAGACGGTGGTGGTGCTTCAGGCCATCCAGCTCTTCAGTCCGCACGCTACCAGAGCAGGAGCGGCCCAGGAGCCGGTGGGGCTTCAAAGCACCACCATCGCTACTGCCAGCAGCGTGCTCACAGCGAGGCTCTGCTGCACTCGACCGCGGCGACAGCTTGTGAGGCCGCAGCGGCGGGCAGTCCTCCGGCTTCACAGCAGTCGAGCAGGGCCTCGGCAACAGCCGGTGGGGCTGTTTAAGGGGCTGATGTTGCTCTATGCGTGGGTCACTGGAGATCGAGTGGCCTAAAAGCTTGTGCGGCTTGCCGACACAGCCGTCCATTTCTGGCTTCACCGTGCTGGAGCACGTTCGCCGCAACAGACGGTGGGATTTTGACACACCATCCTGCTCGGGTTTGAGCTTCTTTTTGCTCTTTACACAGCCAGGAGGAGGGTAGCTGGGGGATCTGAGTTTGCACAAGAAGAAAAACACATTAATCAAACAGCGTGAGCTAAGGAGCACAGAAAGACATTGTGCAATTATGCTTGTGCAAATCCTGCACATTTTAGAATGCTTCATTGGCTGATTTACACCATTTCATTTTTCATGTTGAGGTCTACACAGTGCACAGTGGGAATGTGCATTTCTTGCGCTAATGAACTACAGCAGGTCATGCTTAAGTTAATAAGATACAAAGCATTACGCTCTGTTGACAAATTGCATGAGCATTTTTTCTGCATTATCTTGATTCATTTTAGTATAATTTTATTATTCATACAAATATATATATATATATATATATATATATATATATATATATATATATATATATATATATATATATATATATATATAATATATAGTATGAATACTTTATACTGAGTATTGAAAATGCCATGCTTTTTCCTTAAGGAGCTGTTTACAGATTTTGGTAAAAAACCCAAACAATACAAACATAAAAATAAAACAAAACAATACAAATCTGTAAAATTAGTTATGTGTAATAATAACAGAATGACATAAGGAGAAGTACTGAACTACTAAAACATATTTAATACTTTATATAAAAGACTTTTTTTGCTGATGGCAGCTTAAGAACATCTTTCATATGGAAAAGTCACATGAATTTCGCAAGTGTGATTTTCTTTTCACAGTGTAAAAAATCTTGATGATTCCATCGGTCTCGTCTATCAAATCTGATCTTTAATTTGTATTTTATATTAGTTTCAAGTCAGATAATTAGCTAGGCCATTCTACAGCTTGATTTTCTTTCTTTGAAACATTTGAGAGTTTCCTTGGCTGTGTTTTGAATCATTGTCTTGCTGAAATGTCCACCCTGGTTTTTATCTTCATCATCCTGATAATGTAGATGTTGGACAAAGCAGCTAATATCAATTTACAATGACAAATAACAGAGGCTTGCTGAATAACTACTGAGAGATTTCAGCTACTGTCTGGGCTATCACTGCCTCTTTTTGAGAAAAATGGTGGTGTGTTCAATACTTTACATATAAACTGTATCTAGATGAAATTTGGGAAATGACTTCATGTGGCCTTATGTGGACATAACAAAGGATGATGTACAGTGTGATTCAAGTCCAACATGACTTTAATAGAATTTTTTTAAAGATTTTTTTTTATTACAGAAAAATTTATAGACTTCACAGGTTTATACAGAAGTGGCTGCTTATAATAAACCCATTACCAGGGCCAGATTCAGAATTTTGTACAAAATCTGCGGATTTATGCAGAATGATTTTGGGAGTATACTTTTAGTAACTAAAAACTTTAAAGGTGAAAAGAAAATTAATTACATTTTAATTATTCTTTAAGGCTTACAATGCAATTCCAATTAGATCCAATTTTTGGTTAAACAAATACGGTAGTGTAGTATATAAGAGTTTGGGATCAGTAAGATTTTTAATTGGTTAAAAATAAGCTTCTCCTTATTTTTTATTTAATCAAAAATTAAATTTTTTGATTTTATTTATTTAATCAAAAATACAGTACAAATTAGTAAAATTGTGTAATTTTATTGCACTATGAAATTAAGTAGTTTAAAACTTAATTTAATAATATATTCCAGTGATTTTAAAGATGAATTTTCAGCTTCATTACTTTAGTCTTCAGAGTCACATGATCCTTCAGAAAAATTACTTTAATATTATTATTATGATTATTACTATTATTATTATTATTATTATTATTAATTTTATTAATGGTAAAAGTAATAAAAGCAGGAATGACTGGAGTCATTTCATTTGAAACTACATACATTGAGAGGGCAGTCATTTAAAATTTTAATACATATTTAACCTTTTTTTTTTTTTTACATTTAATGAATGCCCCCTTGATGAATAGAATAATATTCTTAAAAAAATGTATGAAATAAAAATGTACCCCAAACTTTTGACCGGTAGTAAATATCTACTACAAACTGTATTGTACTGAATTCATCTAAACATTTACATATATAACTAATTAAACATTTACATACTCTAAAACTTAGCAGATACAGCAAGTGTAGATTAGAAAGTCTAGTGTAGTCTAGAATGTTATGACTAAAAACTGCCAAAAGTGTGACTTAATCTTTAAAATACTCATTACATGGCTTTTTGAAAAGCTTGATTCTGACTGGTCAACCACAACATTCCACTGTATTGCATGGTTATATGCATGGTTATTCCCAAATATCAACCCATTAAACTAACAGAACAAGCACATCTGGGTACGACAGATCAGCTTTACTTCGAATTATTATATATATATATATATATATATAATAGATTTCTTAGGACTGTTTGGTGGCGTCTTACTACTGAATGAAGATAATAATAGGTAGATAAGTTTGTTTTTCCTTCTTCAAGCTTTAAATTTATTTAAAGAGTTGGTCAGCTATTGTAATGTAGTTGTTTACTTTTGTGGCAGGGAGCTGTGTAATACAGTTGAAGTCATAATTATTAGCCCCCCTGTTTATTTTTCCCCCAATTTCTGTTCAACGGAGGGAAGATAACTCATTTTTAAAAACTAAATTATTTTATCTTTGCCAAGATGACAGTAAATAATATTTGACAAGATATTTTCAAGACACTTCTATACTGCTTAAAGTGACATTTAAAGGCTAAACTAGGTTAATGAGGTTAACTAGGAAGGTTAGAGTAATTAGGCAAGTTATTGTATAATAATGGTTTGTTCTGTATCAAAAATTGTTAATAGCTAAAAATTTTGACCTTTAAATAGTTTTTAAAAAATTTAAAACTGCTTTTATTCTAGCCGAAATAAAACAAATAAGACTTTCTCCAGAAGAAAAAATATTATCAGACATACTGTGAACATTTCCTTGCTCTGTTAAACATCATTTAGGAAATATTTAAAAATAAATAAATAAATCAAATGGGGGCTAACAATTCTGACTTCAACTTTAAGTAGGATCATGTACATCCAGTTTAGGGATGGGCAAACTTAATCCTCAAGGGCCAGTGTCCTGTAGAGTTTCTACTAGAAAGCTACTGGCAGAACACCAGCCCTCCAGAATTAAGTTTGACCATCCTTGATCTAGTCGTTTGTTTTCACAGAATAAAGCCCTTCAGTCTTCACATTGAGCTTCTAATAAACCTGTCTGGCTTTATTCTGTGACTTACAACTAGCTAGATGTACATTATCCTATACTTACTCAAGCCCAGTTCAACCCAGTGCTTGTCATCTTAAACTGAATCAAGGGTTATATCAACTCTAAACAAGCTTTTTTACGCTCGTATATAAAGGGCTTAAAAGGGGGATGTTGTATACATTATTTGTCTAAAATTGGTGTGGTGGAAATATATTTTTTTACCTGCGTAATGTTGAAAAAATATGCAGGGGAGACTTGACTTTCTTCTCTGTTTGCTTTTTGCTGTGCGGGCTGATGAGTTTATCTTTGCTCTGACACTTCCACTGCTGTGTGACAAAGGTTTGCATTATCCTGCCAAGAGATAACACGCTCATGAATGACACCCGAAAAGCCTGTATAACACTAGAAAACATTTCCCTGTAGTGTCTTACTTTTTCAACTGATGTCCGAGTCCAAATCTGTCCTTTGTAGACACTTGAAACACATCAACAGTGGGAACTGAAAAGAGGACACGAAATTATCCATGAGAGAAAAGTATTGCAAAACACAGTTCCACATAAAGTAGCTATAGACATTTGATTTAGACATCAACACATTTCAGGGGTTTTCAAAACACAGGAACAGAAGGTCAATTTGAAATGAGCCACTTATGATGAGCAATTTCTTGGCAGGAGAACAAGAGCAGACATTATGGCCATGTCTATAAGTGACTTCTCCCTCTCTCCCTTGTAATCTGAACTGAAGAGGCCATGTTCTTGAGGAAAGTAATTTTGAGCAAATCTACAATCAACAGAGAGAGCTCAGTGCAAGGACACTCAGACTCTCACTGACAAGAACAATACACATTGTATTAATGCAAAAAAATCAGCACCAAGTATGAAAAACAAGGCCAAATTAGTCTAACGATGATGACAGTAAAATTATCTGCATGATTTGCTTAAAAGAGTTGTTAACTTCTACTGTTTGCATTACTGCAGCTGCAGACTCATGAGATTATTCACACCGGAAGTGTTTGTAGAACATGGTCTGTGCAGCAGCCCCAAAACACCAGTCCTGCAAACAAAATTTTAACAAAAGCATTTTTTTTTATGAGTTAATTATTTTTCTGAAATTAATTTAATTTATTCTTGTATATTTCATTCCATTTTTGATTTGAGAGAGTTTATTGAACTTAGTAGTAAAATAATGAATATAATATAACAAATTAAAATATAATATAATATTCATTCATTTATTTTCGGCTTAGTCCCTTTATTAATCCAGGGTCGCCACAGAGGAATGAACCGCCAACTTATCCAGCACGTTTTTAGGCAGCGGATGCCCTTCCAGCTGCAACCCATCCCTGGGAAACAACCATACACATTCAATCACACTCATACACTATGGACAATTTAGCCCACCCAATTCACCTGTACCACATGTCTTTGGACTGTGGGAGAAACCGGAGCACCCGGAGGAAACACACACGAACGCAGGGAGAACATGCAAACTTCACATAGAAACGCCAACTGACCCAGCCGAGGCTCGATCCAGCTTCTTGCTGTGAGGCAACAGCACTACCTACTGCACCACTACGTTGACTATAATATAATATAATATAATATAATATAATATAATATAATATAATATAATATAATATAATATAATATAATATGATATAATATAATATAGGACGGCAAAGTGGTTAGAACTGTTGCCAGTTTCCTCCGGGTGCTCTGGTTTCCCCCACAGCCCAAAGACGTGTGGTATAGGTGAATTGAATAAACTAAATTGGCTGTAGTTTATGGTTGTGTGTGTGTATGTATGCATGTGTGTAAATCTGAGTGTGTATGGGTGTTTCATACGGATGCTAGAATAGTTGGCGGTTCATTCCACTATGGCAACTCTTGATAAATAAGGGACTAAAGGTTGATTTATACTTTCGCCTGGCACCGCGTCGTGAACCTCCGCTGACTGCGCGTGCACCTCATGAAATGGTCAAGGCTTTTATACTTGCTGCGTTCGCCGTTGTGATATTCTTTAAAATGACAGGAGGTGGTCAAACGAAACTGACTTTAAAAATCAGACGAATAAACAGTGAAGTAGAACTTTTCCGGAACTACATCATATCATTAATATCATTCAAGATTTTCAAACTAGGGCGAAGCAGTGGCGCAGTAGGTAGTGCTGTGTCCTCGCAGCAAGAAGGTCGCTGGTTCGAGCCTCGGCTCAGTTGGTGTTTCTGTGTGGAGTTTGCATGTTCTCCCTGCCTTCACGTGGATTTCCTCTGGGTGCTCCGGTTTCCCCCACAGTCCAAATACATGCAAAACAGGTGAATTGGGTAGGCTAAATTGTCCGTAGTGTATGAGTGTGTGTGTGTGAATGTGAGTGTGGATGTTTTCCAGAGATTGTGGCTGGAAGGCCATCCGCTGCATAAAAACTTGCTGGATAAGTTGGCGGTTCATTCCGCTGTGGCGACCCCAGATAAATAAAGGGAGTAAGCCGACGAGAAAAAAAAAGAATTTTTAAACTAACAATTTTAATAGTTTTTATAATCTATTTTAATGATTATAAAGATTTTTAAAACCATTTAAGATTTTTTTTAATCAAACTTTGACGAATCACTTGCTTTTGTTTATATCTCAGACAGTTTTACCTTTTAAAGTTTATTAAAATATTAATGACAAAAGAACATGGGTTGCTCTACAAATATTTTTGTTATGACAAGAATAAAAGCAAAAAAAATACACTTACAAAAAAATACTGATGTATTTTTAGATTTAGCCCACTTCACAATTGACGCATTACTGTCTGGCTAGTTTTTGTCCTCTACATATGCTAAAAAGGCATATGTTAATTATAGTTTTGTAGCTAATAAATTGTTTTAAATTCAAAATTGTAACATATACATCAGTGTAAAACCTATAAATGTTGGAAAAACATATTCTGTAATTGTGTACCTGGGTCTCAACTTTGCCATGGCCTTTTTTGGCTTTAACAAACTTATCCCTCAGGTTTTTTCAAACTTTTTAACAAAAAGTTTTTCCTTTCGCATGGCTTTTGCAATTTCTAGCCAAGAATTATTGGTCATCTGGTTCTCCCTATGGTCAGGCATGGACAGATCATAAAGATATCTGTACAGTCGAACTGCACCTGTTTCAGACAAAATCTCTTCAAAGTGATTCATATTCGACTCAAATCAATGCTGCAAATCATTTGTTCCTCCAGCTGAAATCATGTCATGTGCACCCAAAGTGAACCTCCGCAAACACAGCAATGACGTCACATTCGCCGCGTGTACTCAAGCGAACTAGCAGACGCATCAATTATGAACCAAGCTTAAGCTGGAGGAAAGTGAATGAATGAATAATATAATAAAACTCTATGAATTCCTCCATAGTTTATATGTTCTGTAGTCTACAAATTTTGGATGAACAATTTTCTTTAGACAACGATTCTTGTTAAACACACTAGGCATGCACATACTGTCTATTTTGTGCTTGTTTTGTGCATTCATAGAACCTGTTGTGTGAAATCATATTTGATGTGGCCATCAAAAGTCTGCTGTCCCTTTAATTGAGTGTGAGCAGTGCATCAAAAATAGACTCTGAGCCAAAACCATCACGTCATTGCTGCTCACGCGCTGCTCCTGCTTGATGTGCATGTGCTGCTCCTGCTCCCTGTGTGAATGCACTAATTTGTTAACATGCAGGCCAAAATATATCCACTGCTCACGCTTGTGGTGTGAAACCAGCCGTAGGTGTAAAATACTTCAATTGACTCCATTATTTTTTATGTTGTACTGGATATCACACATTATTAGTTCAGTTATCCAGAATTAAAAAATATATATTTATGTGGGAGAACATACAAATATTTAATCTGCCACAACTAATAGTTTGCGAAATAAAACAGTCAAATCAGTTTTATCAGTCATTAAATCAGTCTATACAAGAAAAAACCTTATTGTATAAAGATGTAAAAGTGTGAAAAGATTATTATTATTTTTTTTAACGGGGCAAAAAAATAAATATGAACAAGGGCAAAAAAAGCTATCAAATCAAACAAAAAGGCTAAATTAACAAAACAAAAATTAAATCTATTATTAAAATTAATATAAATAAAATCTAATATAATCTGATTAATTCTAAAAATTAAACATTATAACCAATCACACATTTCTGTTGAACTTGTGAATGCATTTGCCAATCACTGAAAAATATCATTTGTTCAGTGCAAACACTCAGTGACTTAACTCTGCTTTTAATCTTCTCTCATCATAAACAACAATTTGTCATTCTGTATGTCATGCTACTAAATTAAAATCATGTGAAGTCTTAATTTTCAAATGCGTACAAATAATAAACTAATTAATTAACATTTTAGCATGCCTTTGGTGTGTAGCCAGGATACTTCATAGAACATTTTTTGTATTATTTAACATTAGTAATCCACGTTAACAATAAGCAAGCACTTATGTCACTGTCGGGGTTTTTCATTTAACAGACTGTGGCAATATACAGTACATTAATGCTATGTCACACAAGTTGCACCAAAAAGATAAAAATGCCTTTGAAAAATCATATCTAAGGTGTGAATTTGTTTCAGACTCTGGTGTTATCCCATAATCCTAAATTTGTACTTTTTCTTAAAGGGGACCTACAGTATTATGCAAAACCCACTTTTATAAGTGGTTTAAAGTCCCCATGAAATCAAAACTAACCATATGATTGATTTTGTTAGCTCACATTGCCAGTTTTGTGGTGAACAATTCATCTGTGCATGTCATTTAAAGGGTCACGAAACACCAAAACACATTTTTTGAGCTGTTGACAGTCGTATATGTGTCCCACACTGCTAAAAACACTATTAGGACACCTATATTTCACTAAGTGTAAATTGGTTGTTTTTGCGTTATTTCAAGCAAATTCGTACTTCCTGTTTGAAACGAATTTTTGAAGCTGCGTCACGGTCATGACATAATAGCGTGTATTCCAGCGTTCAGACTGGGCGTCTGTGCCAGAGTGAGTCTTATTACGTCTTACAGTGTGATACATTAATGCATGAGTAAGGCTTGGTTCAAACCAATCAGCGCACTCTATTGTGCAACTTCATTAATATTCATTTGTGTCACCGTGTTTACACCACAAAGACGCCACGTTGTGTTGGCAAAACAAGCGTGAAGTGTTGCTTTTATAGTTTGCTGCCGTTAAGTTTCGTTTTCATTTTCTCTCTGTGAGAGCTTATCTGGATCACGTGTGGATTAACAGTGTACGTGACGCTCGACAACAATAACTTACGTGTATTAGGAGGATTATTGTTTACCTGAGAGCTGTTCTCATCTGCAAACGCTGAAATCTGGATTTGCTTGTAGTATTCTCTCCATAAAGACGCGGCTCTAGTTGCTGGTGATTGTTCTGTCTCTACAGATTTGGTAAGTGAGCGACCAGTGCTCTTTGTTTATTCAGTTAGTTCATATCGAATTAAGTTAACTATAGCACTGAGTGCAGAAATGTTAGCACCGCATTTAGTGACCGGAATAACACACGCGGCTTTCTGACGCTACCTGCTGTGTGCATCTAAGTTTCCGGGAAATGCGGAGGTTTTTTTTTCTCTCATTCGCCGTGCGGTATCAAACATTGCATGAAAAATACACGCTTAGAGCAGTTCCTCGAATCAAATATCTCGTTTGTCGCGAGGGGCATGAATGAATTCCCTGAATGAAACAGCCAAACTGCAGTTAAAGTCCAACATTTATTAATTCAGCAAATAATTCGACTACAGATGTCCATGTAGGTTAAACACCATCGCTTTCTCCTGTCTGTGTGGGTGTGTATTTTGACTCTGAAACTCGCGCGTGCACAAATAGACACTCCCACACCATCCCACTTTAGTTCCTCCGACACTCCCCCCTAAACAGAGCTGGACACGCCCACTTTTCTGACTTTTTCGAAAGTAGAGGTGTGAAAACACCCTGCTGAAACGAGGGGGTTTCATGGCCCTTTAAAAAAAATAAATAAATTGGCCCTTCATTCATTTTCCTTCAGCTTAGTCCCCTTATTCAGCAGTGGTTGCCAAAGCGGAATGAACCGCACTTCCTTTTTTTTTTTTTTCAGTTAAACTATCACATTACATATATCTTAGGAATTGGATGTGGCTAAGATATTTAACCATGTTGCTCCAACTTTCAGTTTTGAGAAGAAGTTGTAATAGGTTGTCTGTTAGGTAGTAATAACTTTCTCCAAACTCTTCTTCTTTTCCCAATCTTTCTAAATGAAATGTCTACTTTACTACATCCAATCAGCTTGCAAGTAAAAAAACAAGTCACGTCTACTGTTTTCTCATTTAATATTCTGCTTTTATAGGAACTGCGTCACAATATGAGAAAAAAAATACGATCACATCTTCCAGTTCATGTAGATTTTAAACACAGTTGTGTTGCAACACTTTACTTACATAGACAGCCTGTAGTTTTCACTGTAGTTGCTGAAGATAATGTCAGTGACTAAGCGGATTAAAAATTTGGAGTTTTAGGATGTACACATGAACACTGAAGTTTCCATAGACTGGAGACTTTCTTTTGACATTTTCAGTATTTCACAAAGATAATGTTAGACTTATTTTGAATCTGGTGCTATGCTGACCTGCAGGCGTTTGTAGCTCCGCCCTGTTTTGAAATGAGCACAATCTCATTTGAATTTGAAAGTTCAAGAAACCCTGCACTACTTTTTTTGAGATTTTAACAGATCTGTGTGATGCATCAGTTAAGACAACGTTAGCACCTGTCAGCTTTAATTGTGGGTAAAACTGGAAAATTTTGAGCTTTTGTCAGCTAATTTCAGCTTCCGGATTTAAAACAATTATTAGGGCGGGATCAAAATCGGTGACGTATCGCAAAACTGCAAGTGAAGTGATGATGCGTCGGTTTCTCATTATTATTCATAGCTGAGTTTTCTTATCCTATGAGAAGAGCCAGCTCCTTAATTATTTGTGAGACCGCGTGCTTTCCGAAGGCTAAGCAGATCCTCCAAGCTGTGAGAACTTGTGACTAGGTGAGAAACGGGTCGTATGTGTTTGTTTTCATAATTCACAGGGTTTGTTGCATGTTTTTCCCTGCGATGCTGTCCGGGCCGATACTGCAAAGCTGTTGGTTTGCAGCAAGCATTTTTGTCAGGGGAGCTGTATGAGAATTGGAGAATGGAAGGCTTTGTCTTATATCAGCGGAGTTAGTTACCATCAGGTTACCATTGAGAAACATCACCTTTATCTGTGCTGCCGTGTTTGCACGTTTAAAATCCTCCAGATTACTGGCGGGGCTAATGGTTGGAATAGACAGGGCAAGAGACTGCAATGCTATCCACTGTCTGCATTTACACTCGAGGATTGAGGAGGAGAGAAGTCTCATGCAAACTCCACACAGAAACGCCAACTGAGCCCAGGTTCGAACCAGCGACCTTCTTGCTGTGAGGCGACAGCACTACCTACTGCGCCACTGCTTCGCATAACCAATGTAGCAGGGCATTAAAGTACTTACTGTTTATTTCTTTGCATTTTACCTTTGTAAACTATAGAATCATGGGTCTCCTCATGGTTTGTGTGTCATTTTGTGAGCCAACTGCCAGTTGTTCACTTCACACTCTTTCCCCTGCACTGCCTGCCTGCATTTTTTGAAAATTTTTAGAGGTAAACTTGAACTGAAAAAGGGGGTTTTAATGGCCCTTTAATGTAACAGTCAACTTCTGGTTAGGTGAGCCGTCGATGGCAGCATAGAACATACTCTCCCGGTTGATATGTTCAAAAAGCCCTTATACTTTTACCAATTTAATTGAGCCAGACAATTTTAAAACGAAACCTAGCAATGTGTTTGTAAAACCAAAAATAAGCGAGGAGAAGAACAAGACGAAAGAAAACAACGACAAACCGTTACCTGAGAAAAGAACATGGCGCCGAAACTTTGTGAGCAGTGAGAGCACTCAGTAGAGACGTCTCTGAACTGAATTTAAAGCAGCAGTCACCAAAACAACACAATTTGGATCAAATCCTAAAAGGGGAAGTTTTAAAAAGTTCTTAAAATTTATTTGTTGGGTATTTTGAGCTGAAACTTCACATACGCACTCTAGTGACATCAACAACTTATTTTACATCTTGTCATAACAGCCGTAATAGGTCCCCTTTAAATCATAATTTTGGTTTTATAGGTAACATAGATAAATTTAACATGCAAAAACATCCAGTTCAGGTCTTCAAATGTAGTCATTCAGAAGATAAATCTTGTATTACAGAAAGTTTGCTTGTGTCTGTGTGCATCTAACCTGGTCCATTCAGATATTGTGTGAGGGAGCAGTGAAGCCGTACAATAACAGGTTCACTCCGGATCACATCCCAGGCAAGTGCAATCTCCTCCTTTAAACAAATGATTCATTTTAGTTTCACACAATATAATACACACATAAAAAAACAATGCTCATCACTATTCGTGACACTGAACAGTAACACTCACATCTAAGAAAGTGACATCGATGTGTAGGTCGATGTCCACGTCATCAATTGCACCATATTCCCTACATTAAGCAAAAAGAAACAGATTTCCTAACATTATGATATCATTTCAGAAAAAGAAGTTTAGTCATGTTAATTATTATTATACATCTTTTAAAAGCTAAAGCATAGGCAAAAACTTTTTATGTACTTTTCTAAAATGTACTTTCCTTCTAAAAAAAGAAATTTATTCAAGTGTAATATTAGTACATATAGTAGTGGATAAAAACCATACAATAAAAGTTGTCATAAAACTATTGAACAACACCCATTCTTGTCTTTCTAAACATCTTTGAACCACTTCAAATGTTGACTTAAGTGCACTTTCAGTTGACTTTTTATGTACTTCTCTAAAATGTACTTTAAGGGCTTTCTCAGAAAAACCATTAACTAAGAGCACACCACAGTATGCTTACAGTATATATAGTGTTTCAGTGAAAGTACATACACATTTTGTGGCCAATGGTTAAAGAGTCAGACTTAGGGTGCAAAAATTGCGGGCACTGCCAGGGATTATGGGTTAGGGGTATGTGTGTATTTACTACTATTTAATACTGTTATACTTAAAAGGACACCTATGATAAAAATCAACTTTTGTAAGCTGTGTGAACAGAACTGTGTGTAGGTATAGTGAGTCCACAGTCATATTGGAGTGATATAAAGACAATAACTCTCTTTTTTTAATTTACTGACATTAAAATAGGATCCAAATCCCTCCCACTTTGAGGCCCACTGCAACATAACCACTGCCGTTTCCCCGCCCACCGAATTGTTTGACAGGCGCTTATTAACATGTCTCTGTAGTAACGCGTATAATTATATTATATTACAAGTTTAAAATGTTTTTAAAACAGTGTATGTTTGTAATAAGGACAGTAAAATCGCTATGTAATTTATCACCACAGCGCATGTGAGTATAATTATAAAAGAAGACTCTTTAATCCCACTTCAAACGCCGCAACAAATATAACAAATAAGTGTTGGTAAAGTTCTTACTGTAGTAAGAAAGATCTGCTTTGTTCTTGTCTGTTATGGCTCGTTTCCACTGACTGGTACGGTACATTTCGGGTCGGTACGGGTCACCTTTATCAGGCTTGCGCTTCCACTAGCAAGGGTACCCTTTTTGTGGGTGTGGTGTATGACAGAAAGTTTCAGTCGACGTCATTTTCACTTGAGAAAATGTCTACAGTAAACTGTACGGGTGGTTCACATATCATATGAGAAGCACTTCTCACAAAACAGATGCTTTACACACATAAATACTTGTGTATAAATTATTATTATCAACTTTTCTATAAACATAAATTGATTTTTACTGCAGATCAATGACAGTGCAAAATAGCCTACTGTAACATCTGCAATTACATAAAATAAATAAATAAATGCAACATATATGAACACATACAGACCCTTACGGTCGACGATATGTTACCAACTACAGAAGAACTACACACAGTATACATTTAGTCCTTATTTAGGTTTAAAAACAACATGAAATATAGCCCACAGTCTATAAAAACACAAAGCAGACCTCTCATCTGTGTCTGTAATCTTCAGCAGCACATGTAACCTTTGAGTAATTCTGCCATTCTGAGTTCATATTAGTCCGAAAGGTGATAATAATAGTTAAACAAGGCAGTTTGTTCATGTTTGCTGAAAAAATAACTTGCTTCTTTTTTTCTGGCTTCTCCTTTTTTTCAGCGCTTCACTCTCGTGTTTGTCAGTTTCTGGCAGGATCGGGTTTCGAAAGCACGTCAATTATCAAGCGCACGTTATTATCATGAGCTCAAGAAGTTTACTATTTCAGATATAGACGCGTGGCGAGCGCAAGCAAGAAAGCGTAAACGCTCGCGCTTCAGACTGGAACAGGGTAACTCTGCTCTTCTTCTTGGCTTTGTAGCTGTTCATCAAGACGACGACAAGGTTTGTTTGAACCCGAATCAACCATGGCTCGTTATAATATGTATATATAATTCCGCTGCTCGGCTGTGTTTGTATTTTAAACATAGCCGTTTTTATTGTTTTCATTCTGGCTTGTTGCGTAAGCGAATGATGTATTTCTGTAAACTAACAGCATTCAGCTGTGCATCTAGCTTCGCCTTTTGGTACCCTTTCTTGTGTTTGGTACCCGTTCGAAAGGATGCCGAAAAAGTGGTATGGTACGGTTCGGTTTAGTATGCCTTTTGATAGTGGAAACGGCCATAAAAGCATACCGAACCGCACCGTACCACTCAGTGGAAACGGGCCATTACTGTGCTGTTTGTCAACGTAAAGGCTATGGCTCTGACACGCACATGCGAATGGTGGGCAGGGAGAACCAGCTCATTAGCATTAAATGCACAGGCAACAAAAACAGCTACAATGTTATAACAGCTCAAATTTTCAGATTTAAAAAGGTATAATAAATTATCTAATGGGTGTTTTGAGCTGAAACTTTACAGACATGTTCTGGAGACAAAAAAGATTTATATTAAATCTTGATAAAGGGTTACAATAGGTGCCTTTAAAGTATACTTTTATATAATAAAATGTGGATACAAGTATACAACTAGTACATACAATACTGACATGAAGTATATTTAATATACAGTATACTTCAACTACTTAATTACACTACATAAAATGAACAAATTATATATTTTTTTTTAAGCAAATAATCAAGTAAATAAATGAATAAACAATAAATAAGTGTTTTGGTCATCAAGACTACAAAATTGCACAAACATAGTAGTCATCAAAATATGTTGTTGACAGTCACCTTTTGGGAATATGAAGGGAATGCACAACAAATTTAGACATGAAGCAGTTCTGTTTCTACAGCAAGATTTAAAACATTTGGCTTGCAAATTGATGGGAATTGTAATTTTTCACCCTTTTTAACTGGGTTGGGGAAAAAAAATCTAAATAAGAATTAAAAAAAAAAGAATCAACTGACAAAAATGAGACAGAATGCAAATTTGCTGAGACAGAAACCAAAGCTACTTTGGTCTTGTTTACCATTTAACAGTGTTTGTGGCCTTAATTACATTAACAGAAAAAGAAAAGGCATTTCAATGGAAGAGCGAGTAACTGCATTTTATTAAAGATAACCTTGTTTTCCTGTTCTAATCATTTAAATTAAAACTACAAATGTTCATAAAAAATTAAACGGTTTAAATTTGATTTAATGTTGACTCAAATTAATCTAATTTTATACATTTACTACGCAGGTAGAATTGATTTTAGAGGGAATGAGCTTGATGCTCCAGCTATTTTTGCAGTGCTTCACTCAAAGCGTTTATTTCTCATAAAACCATTGCGATGAGTTTGTTGTGTTGCTCTGGGCTAACTGTTACCATGGTTACACCTCACTCCCAAATGTAGCCGTCATCTCAAAAGCAAGAGGTTTGAGAAAATAATAATCCCCTTTGATCTGTCAAGAGGAAGCAGCTTACATACAGCAGATAAACACACACTCATGTTCAGACGCATGCAAACACACTAAATCACACGTTTACCAAAGGTAAAAGAAATTGAGAGCAACTTGAAGGAATCATTTGAGATGTGTTACGCTGCTTGCCAAACACACTAAAGCACTTTAGTGTTTTCATTGCCAAAATCAACTAGTTAAAAGCCAACAAACTAAAGCATTAGTGGGATGCATCCTGGAATTATCAAAGAGGGCTCAGCGAACCCACTCAGACACTGGCCCAGGTTATTTTTCAAGCAGAATACTGAATAAATACTCAAAACAGTTTTCTGTCTGTGGTCCCGGGCAAATGCATCACAAAGATTGCACACTAGACAGAATATGAAACACACTTCTACTGCTATGAATAGAGTCTTTTATGCTGCTCGTTCAATTGACTGTCTGAAAAAAAAGCAGCTTGACAAGATAAACTTTCAAGGACGAAGCTTTTAATAGCTGTCGTCACATGAAACACCATTCAGATTGCCAGATTTTGCGGGGTGAATCACGTTCATGTTGACAATCTGTCATGCATTCTTTTCATTAGAGTCATTAGGCACAGACACATTTTACAGTTGTCCGAAGTGCTTTTAAAATAAGTAGTTTTAAGTTTGTTATATCCTGCTATAAATTTACTCCGACACAGTTCGCAGAGATTAGCTAAAAGAAGAGCTCTCCATCAGAACAAACAACACTGCGATCATTACACCATTACAGCCCTGTAATCAAAGTGAATCTGCTCAGACTCTCAGAGACTGTCCTTCAGTGGATCACAGAGCGTTCCCCCAGATGAGGGATTGAAGAAATGGCCACCTGAGGGTTATGGGCCCTGGCTCAGGCAGAGAACGTCCTTGAGTGGGTTAACCGTGCCAGAACACTAAAGAACGAATACTCTAGGTGTCGATTCCCATAAAACACTCCTCTAGAGTTCAGGAAGGATGTCACAGTTTCACCAGTTGATGTAATGCTTGCACTTTCACTGACATAATGCTACTGTACTGTATATTACTTTTTTAATGACGTTTTTATTAGTTTTTTAAAAGGGCTTATTTACATTTAGCCACTTTTTTTCTAATTGGAGAGCCAACTAGTCATTGAAATGCCCTTCAAAACACATTTGACAAAGACTGCAAGCCAGTTTTCACAAATGGAGTCAGTCAGAACTGAACACATCTACTATATATAGCTGCAAGATGCTAAATCAGCAGATTTTGATTTTTTAAAGATAGTTTGGAGATTTTGCTGGCTCTTTAAATTTCCATCGTCTTCAGTCTCTGTGATAAAACACTTAATTTCAAGGGGCATTACCTCTTGCAGGATTGGAAGTAAACACTCACTATTGTGCCCACTACTGCACTGCGTCACGTGTTCTGGTGCTCGAGATGGCAAGCTCTCTTAAAGAGCTGTTTATGTTTGCGCCATGGCAGAAAAAAATTAAAACAGCCATTGTAATTATTTCTCATCTGGGTATTTACTGATTTTATTAGCAACGCTCAAACTATGATACGCCTGGGGTCTAAACATTAAACTCTGGATTGACATTTATTACCAACACAATGTTAGATTAAAAACAAAAGTACTTATACACATTGCCTCCAAGGACAAAATACCTTTAAGGATACGATGAACGTTAATTTACAGAACAGTACACTGTGTGAAATGCAAAGAACAAAAAACGTTATCTTTCAGCTGCACAGGGGTGTCATTAAAAATAAATTTCAGGCATGAATTACTGATGCTCTGATCTTTAGAAAGGCTTTGTGTAGAAAGAACTTTGTGATCTTAACCCTTTGACGCATACAATCATGCTGCTGTGATCAGTCTTGGTCCCTGGAGCGCACAATTAAAACATTCAGTGCATCATTGATCAGTTGCTAAATTCAAATCTGCTATCCTAACTGGCGCTGAGCCAGAGAAGTCAAGCGCATTGCTTGTCAAGGATCAAAAATGATCAGTGTTTTAAATTAACAATGTTTGTTCTGGCTTGCAGACATTTATTGGAAAACAAAACATTTGTGGTTTGTAAAGTTAAGTTTTATAAACTTTTAAAATTTTTATATAAAATTTTATAACTTTGAGAGGAGCATGTGATATGATTGATCATAGCTAGTTGATGAATTCCAGCCTCTAATAAATAAACCTATTCATCCTAACTTACTTATTTGCGTTTTAAAGAATTCCCCCCATCCACCCCATCTCCCCCTTTCCTCCTTTACCAGAGAAAGCTCTAGAGATCTACTTGATCTTGAACCCCCTGTCATGCTACAAGACCAGGCGGGAACCCTGGGCTCAAGTATCTCTGAGTTTGGGGTGGGAGGGCTGGGGTTTGGTGGAACCAAACTAATTTGACCTTGTGTATTAAATAGAACAGATTGTAGTAAGGTTTACTCTGTTGTTCTTCCAGTTAAATTGTCACTTACTTTCATGACGTTTTGTAGTTGATGAATTTATGTGTTGTAAATCCAGCAGCTGTAATCTCTCCACTGCAGTGCATGTGGCTGTGGCGTGTCATGACACTATTCTAAATAATGATCACGTTAAAAAAACTGACACAGGGGGCTCAGCTAAAGTAATTTAAACATGCATGCAGAAGGGTTAAATTGATTATGGTTGATCAAAGTCAAGGTGTGCGCATTCTACCATGAGAAGTGGCCAAATAAGGAGTTCCACACTTAATGATATCAACTAGAGTCATGTTCAAAAAAACTTTCCAAAACTAGTGTCAATGCAGAAGTATTATTTTTGACAAAGAAATACATGCAAATGGTTTTTAGCACTTGGTCTATGATTTGCATGAGAATCCAAGTCTTTAACACTGTAAATACCACCCACCACCCCCACTTCACATTTTTTTAAACTCCATTTCATGACTTTTTTTCCCAAATCAGAAAATACAATAGGTCTAAATAGCCCCAAAGGAAAGTTAAAACTGTGTTGGGGGAAGGTTTTTATTTTTACAAATTTCGAGAAGTTCAACATCAAGAAAAAGAATGGTCAGATACCTGAGAGATACTGCATGATGGCCATATAAGTCCCTCACGGCCGCCAAATCAGCCTCAAGATGGGGGTGTTTGTGAAGCTCTCCATCGTAATTAACCTGCCAACATAAACACACAGGTCAAAGGGATGATATGCAGAGACATCAGTGAAAACACTTCTACATTTGTTATTGTTACTACCTTGAGGCTTCAGAGCTGCATTATGATTTCTTTTGCCTAAGAAATGAGTTTTTTAATCAGTGTAAGATGCAGAGCACATCAAACAAAGCTTCTAGACATCAATAAGCATGTTCTATTTAACTACTTGATGACTATGGCTCTGCTCTGTCTTTACAATTAAGTTGATTTGCCATACCAGCATATTAGCTCCGGTTTTTATTTTCTTTGATCATTTTCTAATAAACCACTGATCTGATTAAGGCAGAAATGTTGTTCTAGAAACTATATTTCTCAAGAGGTCAAGAAGGCTAATCATTACATTTACTCAAACTTTGTGAGTAGATTTTCTACAACTGAACAGAAATTGTGAACATGTTGTGTAAGTTATCAATGAGGGTGGCACAGTGGGTAGCGATGTTGCCTCACAGCAAAGTCACTGGCTCAAGCCCTGGCTGGGTCAGTTGGCATTTCTGTGTGGAGTTTGCATGTTATCAATGACTAATTTTGATGTTATCAAAATTAAAGAACAATCTATGAACACTTGACTTTTTTTTAGAAATAATGTAATCTTCATCAAACTAAATTTTAAATAATAGTGGTAGTTAGCAGGACAAAGTTTCACAAAGTACCCAAGCCACTTTGATTTTTTTTGCAATGCCATCTAACTACTGGGACACTGTGATACTGGTAGAGAGCCCATAAACTGACGTAATTTTGCAGTAGCATATAGTGGTAGAGGTGCCAAAAGTAAACAATATTTATATAGGTCTTTGCATTAAAATGAAAGGTGCCATTGATACGATCTGTTAAATTGTTCCCTAATATCTACATAAAAGGTATGTGGCTTAGGTAAGAGTAATAATTCTACAAAAATGGTTTTACAGGTCCATTTGCAACCCTAGGAATTGGCCCTAATATAATATGGTTGATTTTGGTTGTGTTGGTTCAATATTTGGACGGGTCTTAAATAATAATGAGCTCTGCTGTAAGATTCCAGCTGCAAGTGCCTGATGCTCACACACACTCACAAACATACACATCACATCATGATATACTGTATTATGAAATAATAATATAATTTTTTAATAACTATAAATAACAATTATTTAATAATATTATTTATATAATTACATTATATTAATTACAATAACATAATGTGCAAAATAATCATACCTCAAGTAAAAAAAAAATACAAACACTATCAAATTGACTAGATTTTATTTTTTTATGACAATATTTTCAACTGAGGTAGTAAAGGTTTATTTTAAGTAAAAGAATTGACAGAGCTATCTTTATGCCACTAGATCAAGGGTCTCCAAACTCTGGAGATTTTAGCTCGAACTTGTCTCAACACACCTGCAAGCACCTGAAAGCCTTTTTAGAGCTTGATTAGGTAGCCCACATGTGTCTGATTGGAGTTGGAACTAAACTTTGCAGGACACCGACCCTCCAAGATCGAGTTTGAGCACCACTGCACTAGATTAACCTAGTTTGTTTCTAAGTTGTGTTGTGATATGCTAAATTATAATCAAACTACAAAAGGTGTCGACTGAGATGAAAACACATTCAGGAATTAAAATCAACCTCTGCATAGACAGATGCATTTTATAGTGTTTACTGTCGTGCTTTCACTAATTTTAGTAAGATCTGAGTGATATAAAATGATGCATAAACACTTAAATTCAACAGTCTACTACATGTGTTTGTTGCCTCATTACAATTATACACAGACCTTTTGCCTCTTCAGCTTGACATTGAAAAAAAATGGTTTACACTGTATATTCTGGATTTTGTGTTCTAGCAAGCTGTGAACACATCAGACATTTTGTGGTCATTCATGGCTTCACAGAACTCCTTAGGCTGTGTCCATATGAACGCGGGTATTTTTAAAGCAACACTTTTTTCTACACAGTTTCGCTGCTTGTCCATACATAAAACGCAGTATCAGGTGACTTAAACTGTCACTTTCTGAAAACTTCAGCCAGGATAGTTTTTTTAAATATATATTCTCACCAAATATACTTAATTCTCTGTTTGATGTCAAGCCAGCATAAAAGTGTCATTATCTCCACCTGTTGGTTCAACGTGCCCTTTACATGCATCACAGTCAGTGTGTTTGTTTTCATGTGGATGGATATTCACCAGTGATCTAATCCTGGCAGATCGCTAACGGACTACTAATGCGCCATTACATAGACTCTAGGTTCCAGTCATGCACCGCTCACACGCACCAGTTCCTCATTCAAGGCAGAGCAAGGCAAGTTTATTTATATAGCACATTTCATAATCAGTGACAATTTAAAGTGCTTTACATAAACGGGAATAAAAGGCACAAGTATAAATAAAATAAAAACAAATAATATAAAAACACATGAAAACAGCGTAGAGACAATTTTTCCATATTCCAAAATACCGGTGTATCATATTTTCTCATTTTACTCTGGGATTTCCCCATTGTTTTTCCAGAGATGGGTTGCAGCTGGAAGGGCATATGCTGTGTAAAAACATGCTGGATAGGTTGGCGGTTTATTCCGCTGTGGCGACCCCAGATTAATAAAGGCACTAAGCCGAAAAGAAAATGAATGAGTGAACAACTTCCCCATTCTTAAATTCTGATCATCCCCCTCTGTTTTTCCCCCGGACTTTTTTGGTACTAATTAATCTATTGGACGTCTCCAACAGATTTGACTTTTCACCTAAAATTGAAACGTTTAGCTTTATAGCTATAATTACATTCCCCCCAATTTCAAATTCCTTCTGGAAGTAAATCGAATGGGCCCTGATTTCTTCCCCCTTTTAGTAGAGTACACTCACTTACAGCCGGGAGCCACTCATGAACTGATTACATGGACTTTATAAACCGCACACACACACACACCTCTTGACTGAATCTTGTTATACTGTTTGTGAACATTACGACGTGTTTTCTGTGCCTTGCCTTTCCGTGTTAGACCTTTGCTTTGTCTTTCTGTTTATTTACGTTGTCTGCTGTCTGCCTTTTGACCATTTGTCTTTGTATTTGACTGACTCTGAAATTCCTGTATACATCTGTGTTAAGTGTTGCTTGCCTGACTATTCTCTGTTAAATAAACCCTACATTTGGTTCCGCACGTGCTCTTGTCGGCATTCCCATTCACATTACAGAGTAAAATATTAGATAAATTAAAAAATAAAGAGAAAATATCATTTTTGTAATCTCACAAAGAAATGTTGTGACCAATCAAATTGTCCCTGAGGCAGGCATATTAATGAATGAATTGGATCATTAGAGGTTTTTTCTTTAAATTGGCCACCTGGGTTTTATATTCACAGGGTTTATATAAAAATGAAAAAAGCAATAGTGTTTGAGGCTTAAAGTAGGTCATTACCGTGTATTACTTTTCAGCTATGCCTGTGTAAATTCAGATTTTCATTCTATTGCACTGTTAGACAAATAAAGTCCATTATGCATAATGATCATGTACTGTATAATGATCATAATTTGGTGGTTGTAAATAATAAATAAAATACAGTGTTTTTAGACATTTAATTTAACAGATATTAAGAAAATTTACCAGCTGCTCTAAATTTCAAAGTGAATCTGCCAGCATGTGACATGGAAGAGTCTCCTGATGGCTTTGAGATGATCAGAATGGCAAAGGACTGCAAAAGTGGCACATTGCGGTGAACGAGAGCCGAGTGAGCATTCAGAGCCCAGCACAGCCATTATGGCATGAATCTTCATCACCTCTGGACTGGTCCTCACAGGGCACACGAAGCTCACTCACTCACTCTAGCTTTATGGATTTGCTCCAGTGCATTGTCACATGATTTATTTAAGCACAAGCCATGTGTGCAAACATTCATTCTCGTGATGGAAACTGTCTCGAAAAAAGGAGGGATTAATCATTAAAAGTTATAAAGCTCTTTTTTATGAGCTGCAAACTACTTTAACCAAATTTACCATGAAATGAAAAGTCGGAAGCCCCAGGTGCTGAGAGTCTGCAGCCAGTTTTATATACCTTTAAGACCTTAGGAAGTTTAGTTGCAGTGACCATTCGAGAACATGATTCACATGCTGAACAGACCCTAATTTAGCAGACTCCAACACTTATTTTTAAAAAACTTTCACCATTATCCTTTTAACACCTTCTACCTAAATGTCACATTTTTACATGGTTCTAAACTCCCTTCTGCACCATTATGTGTCATAAGAGAGCCATTCATTTTAAGAAGCAATTCATAGGTAATTCAGTGAGGAAAGATTTATGTCTGTTGAATCACAAAAAGTGATACTGTTACAATTTAAAACAGCTTTTTATACATATATTTCATACTCAGTAGTTTTCGTTACTCAGTGTCACATGACCCTTCAGAAATCTTTCTAATATGATGATTTGATCCCAAAAAATGTTGTGGAAATCTGCATTATCTTGTGGAACCAACTTATTTTAGAACTACTGATGAGTGAAGTTTATTTATAAACTAATTTCGAGAGGATCACATGCTTATGATTGCTTGCGGCTGGCCCCGCATTATCCAAGTTATGATTCACTAATCAGACGACTCCTAAGCAACTATAAATGCCCTAGGTTTCATACCCCAGTCATATTCGTTTTGAAGCATTTCCCGTCCACCCCTACTCCTCCTCCTTTCCTAGATGGGTGGAACGGGGAGAGTACAGAGTTTACATGTTCTCCCTGTGCTCACGAGGGTTTCCCCCGGGCCCCCTTGTTTCATCCCACTGTCCAAAAACATGCAACTTAAGTTATTTAAATTAATCCAGATCGGCACCATAGACATGCACTTAGTAAGTAGTTATCTCCTAAGAGCAATCTGTTCATTAACTACTAGCAGGGAGTTCTCGAGTTCTACCTAAGCTCAAAATCCCCTCTTGCCTTGCAATGGGAAGGAGCCCCTGGGCTCGAGGACCTTATGAGCTCAGGGCTCTCTCCCGGGACAGCATGCCAAATAAGCTTTATAATCAATCATTAGCTTAGTGTGGATTCTTGAAATAAATATTTAAAAATAACACTATTTATTTAAAAAGAAATCTTGTATGACATTATAACAGCCTTTGCTGTCACTTATAGTCAACATAATGGCAAAAAAACAGATAAGGAGTGTACAAAGAAGACAAGAAAAACTTTAGATCAAGACTAAAAATCATGCCAACAATTTAGCTTAAATAGACACAGCATGGTCACTTCAATACTTGAATTGTAACACTTGTATTTTGGGCAGTTAGTGAATAAGGTTTCACAATAAACCAGTGCGTGTGACAAACAACTGTATAAGTCCAAAAAAATAAATAATGAGATAACCACATGACATTAATTGTATGTGTAAACTTTGTATACAGAAACAGTTTGAGGATATTTTTGCGCGACCAAGAGTCTGCATTTTAAACATTAAAATAGTGTCACACGGAAAAAACTTTTAAGTCCACTAAGATGAACAGAGACGCTGCTTGCTGTACAGTTTGAAGACGTTTTTACACAGGTACGCTGCGCCAGCTTTTCTAAATAAACAACAATACTTAGCTATTATGTTTGTCTGCATTCTATGTATTTATTGTTGTATTCATTTATTCACTTATTATTTATAGTTAATAATTGATTGTTATTGCCTGTACTGTAAGAGGGTCTATGTATTAGTACAATGTTCATACTGTATTTTATGTTTTAAATAATAATAAACTTGAAAGTGATGATTAATATAAACCTGAAGTTTCTGTTACTGTACTACAACTAACATAAAGGAATCAGATCTTCAGTAGTTTAAAATAATATGATGAATTAGAGTTATACTGTTATTCCACACTAACTGGACATATACTGTTCTCCCACATTTGAGACATTATTCATTCATTTTCTTGTCGGCTTAGTCCCTTTAATAATCTGGGGTCGCCACAGCGGAATGAACCGCCAACTTATCCAGCAAGTTTTTAAGCAGCGGATGCCCTTCCAGCCGCAACCCATCTCTGGGAAACATCCACACACTCATACACTACGGACAATTTAGTCAACCCAATTCACCTGTACCACATGTCTTTGGACTGTGCGGGAAACCGGAGCACCCGGAGGAAACCCACACGAAGGCAGGGAGAACATGCAAACTACACACAGTAATGGCAACTGAGCCGAGGTTCGAACCAGCGACCCAGCGACCTTCTTGCTGTGAGGCGACAGCACTACCTACTGTGCCACTGCCTCGCCCCCATTTGAGACATAAGAGTCCAAATAACTTTTTATTTTCATACCAACACTAAAAAATTTTATCTCCTTAGAAATGAGAAGCTTTTGTTGTCTATCTTCAAGTAAAATAATAATACATAACAAATTATTTACAATCCTAATGAAAAAAAATCTTATTACTCAAATTTTGAAAAAGTGGACTTGTTGTCTGTCTCAAGGCCTCAAATGTTGAGTACACAAATGTAGTATATTGCTTGAACTTACCTGTCCAACATAGTAGAACTCCTCAGAATCATTGTCACCCTCTGAATCCTCCTCTATAGCATAATGGCACTGAAAAAAAGTTTCCAAAGTATGACAGGACATTAGTCACAATACAACTTTTTCATCGTTATGCCTAACAATTGAAAATAAAGCTATTGATGAAAGTAACATTTCTTACCGAGTGTTTATCAGTTTGAAGTTTTGACTTAATAGACAGACAGCTGGTGGCATCATTATTTAAGCGTATTTCTAAAGACACAATAAAAGCACAGATGCGTGAGCATGGCATGAAATTACAAACAAAGCATTTCAAATGAAACAATAAGTGATCTGCAATTTTAATTATTAAAATCTGGATTATTTTACATCATGAATATGCAAAATCCAACACACTTATCCAACTTTCTATCCATTGTTTATTGTATGAGGCTCGTTATTATGAATAATACCACTATAATTCCAGTCTACAAAAAAACAACAATGTCGAAAGTATAACTGTTCCAAATATGTCAAACCTGCAAAGTAACACACTAACTCATTAGTGTTAAAAATGCAGTGTTTTCTTGACCAAAGAAGTGATATTTTGTTCATAACACCTTAAGAGTTCTTTTTGCAGAGGTCTGTGTGAGAAAGCATTTACTGCTGACAAAGTGTGCACATCTGAGATCCATCAGCAGAATGTGCACAGCCTCATTAGTTGTAATGTACTGCGTCAGAATATGTCAAGAGTTTTTTTTTCTATTAAATGCATGGAGTTAGGTGGGGATGTTAAGCATCTATTAAGCGTCAAACTAACTGCTGAAGGAAATTAGTGAGGACTGTTTTGCCACTTTGTTTTGGAACATATGTCTTGGCTGGGCCTAAAAATAGCATCAGAAGAAATAAACTAGAATTCCAGGATAATTTATTTCCAGAATTACTGCCAGTATAATCAAAGAGCCTAAAAAAGACGTTCTGACTAACACTATGTGAACACTGCACATTAAATTTTTACATGATCATCCCGAACAAAAAACACCAATGTGTTGCTTTTTTAACATTTTAGGGGGTTCAATAATTTGACAGTATGGGTTTGGTAATGATTTGTCAACTGACCATCATTCACAGCAAACTTTAATTATTTTATGCTATACAAACTCTGAGATAACTCAATGAAATTCAGTCAGATGATGAAATGATGGGTGCTAGCTCAGGGATGTAGCAAAAAAAAATATTCAGCCAACAGGGGCCTTGACCAAAGTTGAAAGCAATGAAATATTCCTGTGAAGTCCACTCTAGATCAAGATGACTGCTGGTTTCCTTTCCCCTAGGCATGACTTTACAACATCTGATCGTTAAGCTGTTTCATTTGCTTTCTTTGGCTGCAGCTCTCCCATGGTTCACTATTAACTGATACAGACTCTTACCTGTTGCAATTCTGTGGAAAATCACTGGTATTGGATCTCTGGTCACTAACACTTCATCATCGTTTTCAGAATTAGACACATACGTGTTATCTGAAATGACAAAGACAAACATGTGCTATTAAAACACCTAGAAATGTTACCCTGAAAATCAACTAACACTATAAATCAAGCATTTAATTTACAATGCTAACCAAAAGTATTAACATTTCTCCATATGCATAATTATTAGAAACACTCCAAAAGAGACCGAGCACGGCTACATGCTAGTTCAACAGTTTCTGGACAATTCGCTGTTTTCAGGTTAACACATCCCATGGCATTCTGTGGCAGTGTTGTCTAAATCTGTGCCAAACAAACTCCTCATTCTTATGCAAAGCTGACTGTCTGCCATTATGCTGTGAATCAGGCTGGATTAAGTCAAAAAGGGAGGTCCATAGATTTATATTTAGATATAAGGGACAGCTCTAGTGTGTTGACGTCTTTGGCAATGTCACAGCCTTTATTGTGTGTTTGTGTGTGTGTGTGTGTGTGTGTGTGTGTGTGTGTGTGTGTGTGTGTGTGTGTGTGTGTGTGTGTGTGTGTGTGTGTGTGTGTATTAAAACTAGGGCTGCACAATATTGGCAAAATGCAACACTGCAATATTTTGTTATTCTGCAATATGAATACTACTTAACCAGAAGATTTAAATATCTATATTTGTAAAGAATTTATAAGTTTAAATATATTGGGATGATTCTATGGGGGAGTGCATCTGAATAATATATAATAAACAATCTACAAGCACATAAATACAACACAAAAGATACTAATTAAATAAACAGTAATTTATTGTTTTCTGAGAAGTCTAGAACTATTCATAGCAATTGAATAATCAAATGTAAAATACTGCAGTCTTCATTTTATAAATAATAAAATAAAATTAATCGTTATAAAAGTTACAAATGATACAATTTATTAGGCCTGAATGCTTTTAAAATCCTCATACAGTCAAGCAAATGATAAATTATAATCCGGACTGCATATCTTGCGATGTGACTATTGTGAGTCATTCATTCACAATACTGCGATATCAAACCTGAAATGATATATTGTGCAACCCTAATTAAAAGGGGTAAATATTCAACTTCTGTTTACTTTTTTTTTTAATCTTTTTGACTTTTTGACACAAAAGTGAAAATTTACAAAGCATTTGCTCATTCTCAGGTGGTTCTCTACCTTTATGAGTTTCTATATTCTGTTGTACAAAAAAAGATGTTTCAAAGAAAGATGAAAACTAGTAACCACTGACATCCATAGAAGGAAAAACAAATACAATGGAAGTCAATGGTTTACACTTTCCAGCTTTCTTCGAAATATATTAATTTGTGTTTAAAAGAAGAAATGGAGGCTTGGAACAAGTGAAAGGTAAGTAAATAAATGAAGCCTATTTATATCTCCTTTAGCGTTCACAAAGAAACTGATCAAAACCAACTACCTAAACGTAAAAAATCTAGCCTACTGTAGCTATAAAATCTACTGAGCTTCAAAGTTGTGGCATTTCATTTTATTGCTTATATAAAAATAAAAACATACACAGTTGCCCACTTGAATGTATTGTGTTGTTATATTATAATGTGACAGAAAAGATTCAGGGGATTCTATAAAGCAGGGATTCTCATACGGTGGGCCACGGCCCACTACTGGGCCTCAGCAATTCTGCAGGTGGGCTGCGAGTTTAAAATGAACTCTCAATATTATGCTAGAATTTCATAATAATATGCAATATAAAAATGATCGAAGTAATGCACTTTGTCCTGTTCTATGGTTAATAACTTTAAATTTAGTGCAAAAACAGTCTCATTATCGCGTCTGCAATTAGTAAAATCATGCCTGTTCATTCACAAACTATGCGTGACGAGAAAGTGAAAGTCTCTCTGTGCATTTTTGTGTGACCTATTGAATATATCCGCATAATTGTAAGTGTTTTATAACAAATGCGGGCCCATACAGGAGAATCTAGCATGGCCCAATGCATAGTGTTTCTTCCATAGATTGTAAACAGATTTAGAGTGCTTTACTGTATTTTACATTTGTCTGTATATTTTTCAATAGTATATATTTATTTGTAGATACTCAGTCCAGTTTAAAGCAATCTTTTGCAATCTCCCTGTTGACATGTGGCTCTCTTCAAATCTGTCTGTTTAAAATGAATAAATAAATACAATTATATATATAATATTGTTTTAGTTTTAGATATAATTAAATGTAAATAAAAGTATATTTTTTTAATAAAATGCTGACAGAAAATATTATATAAATAAGCTATTGTCAGACAGGTGGGCCTTTAAAAATTGATTGGAGAAAGAAGTGGGCCCCGCAGTGAAAAAGGTTGAGAACCCCTGCTTTAAAGCATCATTGGTCCAGCACTGAGGTGGCTCTCCTTTATAGTAGACAGTCATCTCACCAATCAGGTCAGTTATATACAGAGTAAATTATAAACTAAATTTCTATATTTTAACAGAAAACGTGTCATGTCCCAGTGCTGGTTTTGTGGGTACTTGACAAGGTGTTGATATGCAGGTGCTATATGCGTTTTGGCTTTAGCACCTTTAGTAAAAGCTGCTACTTATGATTGCTCATAAGTCAAAAAAGCTCCCCCTCCATGGCACTGAGATATTCTAAACCCCTGATCAGGGCTGTGTCTTTCTTTCTTTTAGTTAGTTAGTTTTATCACTGACCATCTGAATCTGATGGCTTTGAACCATAACAAGCTCCTTAATAAGCTGGCAAATTTGAAGACACGGAGCAGAGCAGATGTTCAGGTTGAGTTACATTGCATATTTTGAATGAGGCCTGCACAATATTGGAAAAATCATTTCCATGCAACATTTTTCTTTGCAATATTTTTTATTCTGCAATATATATTGTGAAATGAACACAATTTCACTAGATGAGTTGAATAACTGTTTGGAAAGAATTGATTGTTTTAGATTGAAAGGGATGATTCTGTATAAAGTGCATAAATTATAATAAACAATCTACAAGCATAGAGAAATTAAATTTACCAATGAAATAAACAGTGCTTTATTGTTTTCCGAGTACTCAAACCTTATTCTGGTATAGAGAAATTGAACAATCTGATAAAAAATAATACTGCATAGTCTTCGTTTTGTAAATAATTCAATACATTTAATCATTATTGATTCGTCAAAGTTACAATTTATTATGCCTGAATGATTTTAAAACCCTCAAACAGTCACAGGCCTTAAAAAACTCTTGCGAAATGATCAATTATAATCCAGACCTAACATTGCATATACCAGTGATGTAACTATTGCGAATGATCTCATTGCGATAATGATGCTGAAACAATATATTGTGCAGCCCTATTTAGAATAATCATGGGTAGGGTTTTCTCTAAATCACAAGGTAAACATTAATAATAATGTTAATGACTGTTGCATATAAAGTCACACAGGGCAAAGGAAAAGGACTGGTGAGAGTTTTTGGGTATCATCTCTCTATTAATCAAACAATCAATCTATTATTTTTATGCAGTACCTGGATAATCATCAGAGACGTGAACAGAGTAGGACACCCTGAAAAAAAAAACACACAAATGTCAACATTAGACTGGATACAACAACACAGCAGTGTACTTGCTCTCAGAGCATATGGTACCTGACATACTAATATCTCACATTTCATCAGACCGAATAAACTCACTAATACAGTTAAGTTCATATATTGTGACAGCACTAGTGGAGCTACTCGTGGAGAAATCCAGATGTGATTTGTTCTTTTTTGTTTTGCGCATGTTTTAAAGTCATATTCCACTTATACTGCACTTTACAGGCTTATCAGGGCTGCGCGATACTAAAAAATATGCGATATGTGATGGAGTTGAGTAATGCAAAAATTATATTTCTTATATTTCCCTAAAAAGATACAATTTTTATTAGCTATGTTTTAAAATCATTTATTTATTTATTTAGTGACATTAAAATAAACAGGTAAAACAATTTTTCAGATACAATTATTTCTAATTGGCTGCATGGTGGCGAAATGGCACGTTTGCCTCACAGCAAGAAGGTCGCTGGTTCGAGCCTCGGCTGTGTCCGTTGGCATTTCTGTGTGGAGTTAGCATGTTCTCATGTTGGTGTGGGTTTCCTCCGGGTTGCTCCGGTTTTCCTCACAGTCCAAAAACATGTGGCATAGTTGAATTGAGTAGGCTAAATTGTCCGTAGTGTATGTGTGTGAATGAGTGTGTATGGATGTTTCCCAGTGATGGGTTGCAGCTGCAAGCTGCATTTAGTCTTTAAAACACTAAAACATCAGCGGATATTGCAGACTATTGGCTGTTGTCATTTTCCTTTCTTACCATTGGTGTTTATTTTCAGCTCTGGGTCTACCTTTAGGTTGCTCCAGCCAATAGCAGAACAGCAATTACTGGGGAGGCGGGGCTTAAGATAGTAAGACACCATTTTATTCATTAAATTTACATTAAAAACATAAAAAAACTGTAATTTAACACACGTCTGCAATACATATTGCATATACTACTATCACAATAACAATAATTTTGCAATATATTGTGCAGCCCTTTTTATCAGCATATGTTTAAAACTTCCGTTTAAACTTCAAATATACAGTTTTCAGAGATTTTGCATCTTACAGAAAGCCACCTGAGCTCTCTAAAACACAAAAAGTTCACATAAAAAGTTGTTTGCTTTTGTGGATGTAAACAATAAGAAAAGAAATCAAATTTGTTTTCGATTTGTGTGTTAAAATGACAAAAAGGTCATATACAGTATCTACTGCAGTCTATGCTATTTACAGAAGAAAACCTAAAGACTACTCTTTACTGAATAACCTTAGTAGCATAATAAAAATAATACATTTGTTCTTTGTTAGATGTAGGCAGGGCTTGTTTAAAAAATGTGCCAGTTTGGACAGAAAATGTTAACGCCATGTTTTCAAACACTGTTTATGACTTTTGGAAAATATAAAAAGCAGTGGGTGGATTCTTACTGTTGGATGTTTACACACACTGTCAACAAACACTTGTGCTCAAATACCATGTAACAGTGCATTTTCCTCAACTGACCTCTATTAAATAGCAGCAAAACTGGAAAAAGGCTCAATAAAATAAAAAATCCTCCAACAGTTACACAAAGCTGTATGACTGAAATGAGCAGATGGAATGTATAAATTCCAAGTGACAAAAGGAATTTTGTAAACACTTTACAGAAGAGACTATCGGGTCCCAAAGGACTGCTGCCCACATGTCCTGAAAACAGCTAGTCTAAACACTTAAGAGGTAATTAAGGAAAGTGTGGTCTCCGTTTCACGCAATCAAGTAAATAAGGCTGCAACGAACAGTGTTGACAACAGGACACTGTCTCCTGTGAAGTACCTTGAATTAATGTGCAGATTAAGTGGCTTGCTAAAAAGCCTTACAGTATCAACCTGCAACTGCTAAAATGATATTAATTACCTCAGTATAGGCTGATCTGGCAGCAGTGAAAACATAACATCATGTAGGTGACCTTTATGTGATTGCGCTCTCTTTTTTTTTTGCTTCATTGCACAATGCGAGAAAAATATATTCAAGAATTAATGGAGTCAGTGACCTTATACATAACATTAAAAATCATGCCAAATAACTTACTGGAAAACAACATTAAAACACACACAATTATACTGTATATGTATGTAAATTTTGACTACTGCCTGAAAAGAATGCTGTACTTGGCAATGAGTATTTATGTGATGACAATACAGAAAAGAGAGATTGATTCAGTGGAAGTGAAACCCCTTGTGGGGTCTCACACAGGATGGCGCCACTCACAGAAACCATTATTCACAATGACACCTGCAATGTTTAAAAATGACTTTGGCGTCATGTGCATGATACAGGGTTTTTTTGGGCCCCAAGAACACGTTTTTATTCAAGCGCACCAAACATCTGCTAAATGACGATGACTGTGCAAAAAATGCATTATATGTGTTTGTGCCTAATCTCTCACACAAAGGCTTCCTAAAATTTTAAAATACATTTTCCCCCCAACAACTAAATTTCTTTTATTGAAACAATTTGGTAACCAAAAAAAAAATAAACTAAAACCTAAATAAACTTGCTTTATTCTAATAAAAAATAAATTAATACATTTATATTTATGACTAATACAACCAACACTGGCTCAAAGGAAAATGTGAATATCAATATATATTCATTATACAAAAAAAACATAAATTTTAACATAATTGCTTCTTTTTTTGTTTCACAACACAGTCAAATGCCCAGTAATAAGTGCTAAAAGTGAGTTCAGTTTCAACCACAACGTACAATTTGAGTAGTTCAGAAATGAAACGTGTGAGAGTTGCTACAAGAGTAATAACAAGCAATCTAGACTAAACCCACCTTAAAATGAACCGATAGTGTTATCAAAAGCCAACACATTATCTAAAACGTGCCATTGTTTGTATGTTTAGGCTCTGAGCTCTTCTATCATGACGTATGTTTCAAAACACTCATTCACAAGTACAATGCTGTAGCAGATGAACTAGAGCAAGTTTACCGTGTCAGAAAGCCACAGTGTACAAGTGAAGCTGCTATTTAATGTGATTCAAAGTTGCAAACATCAAAATGTTTTTGTTTATAAATCATGTGCTATGCATTTTGCACAATTCCTTGCACAATACTATCTTATGACCTCAAAACACTTTTACGAGGAACAATAAGTGTCAGCTGGATACTGGAGAAATGAAATGTATGTAAAGGGAAATTTCTGACATTGCCAAAAAAAAAAAGACATGAGACAAGAGGTCAGCCAACTGATTGATTATGTAAGGGATAACAAACAGATTTTTAAAGCAAATTAAGAAAACAAATTTGATTGTCACAAATTTCATGGTCATTTGCCAAGATTTAGAAAAGCAGCACGATGTTTGATGTAATTTTCATCAGATAAGCCACAGATCTCCCCATTTAAATCAGTCACAGTCTGAGAGAGTTTGTATATATCTAATAGCTCATAAGTGGTGGCTACCTCTAACTGTCATTGAGTAACTACTGTATGTTTACCACTAATGTTTGAGGAAGCACATGTCTTTCTAACTATGATTAAAACTACCCACGCATTAAGCAATTTTATTGCACAACTTCCCCATTCAGAATCAAGATTTTCAACAGACCATGGAATAAAAAGTGATCCGTCAGTTGTCTTGATGTTGCATTAGAAAAGAAAGAGAAGCAGTATAGTACACTTATTAACCAGGCTTAATAAAAAGAAACGCATAATTTAAAAACAGTATATTGTCCAAATTTTTGCAACAATTAGGTTAATATATAGAGCATTTCAATGTGGGTATGTCATTGGCCCATGAATATTTCCTGCTTCTTGTTAAACTATTTCCTAACTGTAACGAGAGGTGATTCAATCATAATTTGATGTTAAAGTAGCTATCATAACATTATTTGTCAATATGTAGACTTTTTTAGATACTCGGAAGCTCATTCATTCATTTTCTTTTCAGCCAAGTCCCTTTATTAATCCGGGGTCGCCACAGTGGAATGAACCGCCAACTTATCCAGCACGCGTTATGTGCTGCGAATGCCCTTCAAGCTCCAACTCATCTCTGGGAAACATCCATACACACTCATACACTACGGACAATTTAGCCAACCCACACGAATGCAGGGAGAACATGCAAACTCCACACAGAAACGTCAACTGACCCAGCCAAGCTCAAACCAGCGACCTTTTTGCTTAGAGGCAACAGCCGTACCTACTGCGCCACTGCGTCACCCTACTCGGAAGCTATGAAAATTAAAATGTAAAACAGAAAATTTGTTACGACCATTGTTATTGTTTACATCCCTCAAAATGGTCTATTTGGCATTGTTGCTAACAAGAAAGAACCTTTAACATCCATGGAAGTTTTCCATTGAGAAAAGGGTTCTTTAATGGAATAATGTTCTTTAGATTATTAAAATGTACCTAACATTATTAAAAAGCAAACAGTTATGGGCTTCTGGGAAACCAAATCATGGTTCTTATACAGTATTCACCTTATTCTCTGCCGACGAGCGGGCGCTGCCATTTGAATCTTTTTGGCTTGAGACTTCCGGTCTCATTCACTTCCATTAATTTTTTGACGTTAAAAACTGCTCATTACGCTGCTTGATGTTGCAATTTGATATTTTCTTATTATATTATTCTACTTGGTCTGTATAGTCATGCAAACATTTGTTTGTAGAGCAAGTAGTTTGACTGTTTTCTGCCGTTTATTATTCCTAGTAATTTCTCCCATAGGCGACTGAATCGGAAGTTCTAAGACAATCGTGAAAACAGTCGCACTTCCGCATTTTAGAATAAGGTCAATAGTACCCCTTTGAAAACCTGCATTGAAAACTTTATCTTTAAGACAGCATCTGTTTGCATTAGTTTTTCCAGCTTGCCATGTTTACAGTATATCCAGCTTGCCATTTAAGGAGACATTACAAAGAAAATAAATATGCAGCCGACAGCAACATATACAGTTGAAGTCAGAATTATTAGCTATAAGAAACTATTGGGAACTATAAGAAATTTTC